AGTGGGTCGCGTTTCCGATCCTTTGATAGATATTGCGAAGCACTGCTCTCGCTAGGGCTAGTGTTAGCAACATCCTCAGGTTAGAGCCCCGTGAGCTCACCTACTCAGTTACGCTGCCATAACCCTTTAAAGCTACCAACTTAGGTAGGAAAAAACTAAGGAAAATTCTTCTTTGAGTGGACCGACGCGATAAAGATGTACTTAAATATCAAACTGCGACATTTGCCTTTGAACAAGGTTTTTGCAATATCTCCTTGACTTAGTATCAAACCACACGGGAATCCGTGTCTATACACTTATGCTAGGGTTGTTTAAGTTTTTTTTTTTCCCGGTTGTCTTTATAATGACTAATGAATATCGCTCTGTAACATCAGACCGGAGCAGGCCCTACAAGTAATGCGGCGTAGTGCTAGAATAAGTTTGCATAATTTGCAATTTTTTTTTTTTTTTTTTTTTTATTGCTTAGATGTGTGGACGAGCTCACAGCCTACCTGGTGTTAAGTGGTTACTGGAGCCCATAGACATCTACAACGTAAATGCGCCACCCACCTTGAGATATAAGTTCTAAGGTCTCAGTATAGTTACAACGGCTGCCCCACCCTTCAAACCGAAACGCATTACTGCTTCACGGCAGAAATAGGCGGGGTGGTGGTACCTACCCGTGCGGACTCACAAGAGGTCCTACCACCAGTAATTATTACGCAAATTATAATTTTGCGGGTTTAATTTTTATTACACGATGTTATTCCTTCACCGTGGAAGTCAATCGTGAACACTTGTTAAGTACGTATTTCATTAGAAAAATTGGTACCCGGCTGCGGGATTCGAACACCGGTGCATCGCTCGATACGAATGCACCGGACGTCTTATCCTTTAGGCCACGACGACTTCAAATGCTAGGGTTGTTTAAGTTTTTTTTTTTCCCGGTTGTCTTTATAATGACTAATGAATATCGCTCTGTAACATCAGACCGGAGCAGGCCCTACAAGTAATGCGGCGTAGTGCTAGAATAAGTTTGCATAATATGTAATTGCTCCCAAAACATTTTCTGGTATTATCGCACTATTCTAGTTTAGAGGTACAAGGCTTTCCTTTATCTCTTTAGATAAAGCGTAAAATCTACAGTAATTAGATAATAAAATAATGACGCCACGGCTACTCTATCAAGATTTTATAACCGTATGTTTTTGCGGGACTACTTACATAAATACTACTGCTGCATTTTACTATATTTTACATTCGATATTTTGAAGTTTCTTCCAATATTCTGCATAGTGTCGTCAGCAGTGATAACGTCAAATTATCTCAAAACTAAAAAGAGAAGTCAATACCTACACACAACTAATCGCTTTTTTTTCAACAAATTTATTCGTAACATCACACAATGTTAATTATTATTATAAAATACTATTACTAAATTATTATTATTACTTCAACAACTATGAGAGTAATACGTGAGTTTTTTTAGTTTTTTCTTTCTTTTTTTAATATGTATTTAAATAAGTTTAGTTGTTATTTTAATCGCCGTGATTCGTCTGGTAACTGATGCCCTTAATTACATTCACATTTACGGCATAATCTCGCCTTTTTATTTCGTGGCTGGCAGCAACTTGGCCCCCTCAATTGCTGACGTATATTACTGACGGTAGCCATTCACCATCAGATAGGTCGTATGCTAACTTATAAGAACCTATCAGAACATTAAAAAAATATTCAATGACGGACATTTCAACATGTAGATTCAATCATAAGAACTCCTCTCGTACCTTTAAATTAGCTAATAAACAGGTTATTATATTGTCAGATTGTTTGAATTTGGAACGTCAAAAGTTTTTTTTTATGATTGAGAGGTTACTGGTGTCCCGAAGGCCTTTCCAGTTTCACCAGGACAGGTGGGCGAGCAAAGGCTCAGCCAGGAGGGGTGGGATTTGCTTACAGCTGCCCGAGCGCCTCCGAAGGAGACCTAACAACTCAAGAGCAATTGCTTCGCGAATGAATCTACTACCGGATCGGAATCGCGACCAGCTGAGAAGATCCGGCGAGAAACTCAGCGGGCTGATGCATGGGTTAGGTTGCACGTCGACCTCTTTGTCGAGTTCGACGAGTACGGTTACCGGGGTCCCTATGCCTGCTCCTAGTATTAGAGCTGAAGGCGTCTAATGCAAAGGTTATTGGATCTGATCGATCCGTAAGAACGTGTTACGTTAAAAGTGTTAACGAGCGACGTCCGCTATGACACTTTCCCCCATAGATTATACACTTAATTTCCTTCCCCTTTTTCAATTCCAGCCGCCAAGGGCGACACATCAATTTCATATTTCATATATTCATATACATATCTTTAATTTGTCACATAAGGACTAATAAAGACATCAAAACTAATAAATACAGTCCACTCTCATTTACCACAACGCAATACAGATCCTTTCGTCACACGTTAAGATTACAAAACAATGTTTCAGTGTGTTTCCTGTTGTTTTTTTTCTTGGCTGAAACGTTGGCTGACGACAGCTGCCCATGCTCGGGTGCTTTAGCGCCCGTCTGTGGCTCCGATGGCAAAACGTATTGGAGCGAAGACTGCGCGAAATGTGGCAACCCTAATCTAACAGTGAGGAGAGGTTTCTGTCCGCGACTGGATGTGGTATTCCAGAAATGATTCGAATTCAACTCAGGCTTCAGTGTCGTTTAACTTTTGTAACAATTTCGCAATAAAAAATAATCGAAAATACTCCGTATGGTTTTTTTATAACTACCCTTATTTTATTTTACCAACAAGAAGATTTTCTTTTGTTTCCTTTATATCTCCGAATCTAAACAATTTCTCTGCTCCTATACGGTGTTGTTGTTTATATCTCACTTTTATTGTTGCTTATATTGTTGTTGCTTATATCTCACTTTTACGCAGCCACCTGAGTTCATAGGAGATGTTTTTCCTACCTATTCGCTGGTAGCTCACGAGGCCCAGCCTCAGAGAGCTTGCTAACACTTTCGCTAGCAAGAGCAGTGCTTCGCAGAATCTACCACCAGATCGGAATCGCGATCCACTCAGAAGGTCCGAAGAGAAACTCAGTGGGCTGTGTCAGATATGTAATTAGTGGCGGTCACGATAAGAAGGTTATCGTGTCGCGCCGCCTTGTCGAAGTAACGTTCTGACGTTACCTTAAGGTACTCACGTATCGGTTCTACGTTTAAATCATGGTGAAAGTCAATATTCTTCACGTAGCACGGTGCTCCGAGGGATACCCTGCAGGGCATCGGATGGCCTGGAGAGTTTATGTGTAGCATACGGGACGCGTGAGCGAACACATGGGCGATACGGCGTTGATGCAACCACTCATTTTATGATCGAAGTCCCAATTGTGCAACAGCTGCCTTTGAAACTGATACATGGATTCTCTACTAAATCAGATTTTATCTTCTATGTATTTACCTACCCTATCTATCTAGTTCAGGCTTATAATACGGCCCAGTTTGAAGCAATATAAAATAGATCTAGGTATTTAATAGATCTAGTATGATAAATGTTGGTTCGTTAGTCGGCATTCACGTGTGCTCAACGTGTACAACACCTTTTCTCAAATAAGCTCAAGAATGAATTGTCGTTGTTAATTATATCGTTTTAAATACGGCTTAACTTTAATTCATTACAAACAAACAGGATAACATGCCTCTTTGATTTATCAACAAAACATTATCTATTGAATATTGATTTTGCACAATCGGATATATATTTTATGAACAAATAAATGCTTATTACGATATGCCATACATCGTGATTGACGTATTTGCAACGTAAATGTTTAATGCGAATGTTGTTATAAGTCTACTAGCCGTACTCGCCCGCTTCGCTGGGCATTTAAAATTAACATTATTATTTATTGTCATTATTATTAGGGAGTCCAACACTCATATAAATATTAGCCTATCCATTATGTATTTTCTATATGGATACCAAGTTTCAAGTCAATCGGATGCATGGTCCAGTAGTTATAACGGAACATCCGTAAAAACCACTGTAGATTTATATATTAGTATAGATTAGTACTAGTATAGATAAGTAGAATTGAAGTTAATTATTCTTCATTTCTGTCTAAGATTTATGGATATACAATATACGTGGTAGTTAGTGAGCTACCCATGCAATACGAAACCACATGAATATATATTAATGAGGTATTGAAGAACAATAAGCAATGCTTTATTGATAAAAGATCATCATAGGACTTACAAACTATTTTAAAGTTACATCCTCTGCTTTGATTCGAACTAGTTTGGTCGAGATTGGGAGCAGCCTGATTCTATCACGACAAACCTTCTAAGTCTTCCTCCAGTCAATTTAACCTGGTCATTGTCTAATTACTATTTTTCTTCAAAGAAAGAAGTTGAAAATATCTGGTTAATAGTCAGATGAACAAACCGTCTTTCTGGTGTTGAGTGACTACCGTCCAAACTGATTTTACTGGTGATAGGACCTCTTGTGAGTCCGCACGGGTAGGTACCACCACCCTGCCTATTTCTGCCGTGAAGCAGTAATGTGTTTCGGTCTGAAGGGTAGTGCAGCCGTTGTAACTATACTGAGATCTTAGAACTTATATCTCAAGGTGGGTGGCGCTTTTACGTTGTAGATGTCTATGGGCTCCGGTAACCACTTAACACCAGGTGGCCTGTGAGCTCGTCCACCCATCTAAGCAATAAATAAATAAAAAATAAAAAAGGACGTCAGTAACCCCAAAGGCACAAGGAATTTAGTTTAACTAATCTCAGATTGTTTCTACGTTGTTCTACCACTGACTGTTCTCATGCTGTAACTCCTTCTTAGATAATTGAATTATTTTTTATTAACAACATTGTTCGATTCAAAAATTTATTATTAAACTAGTAAAGTCTATTTTTGCAATATCACACAAACTGTTTAACTAAGACAAACAGATAACAAACATTATAACTACAAACACATATCATTTTATATTTGTAGTCTCGACAACTGTTTGACAATTCAGCGCTTTTAATTAGAAACATTTGAAGCAATTGAATCCTACTAGTTCACTTCAGTCTGTGAATTAGTCGTAACCGAACAGATACGTGTATGAATAAAAAATAATTATACGTACAAAGATAAACATGCGTGTGTGTAAATAAATATAGCTGAAAGTATAAAAATTTAAAGAAACAATAGTGAGATATAATCGTATCGATTTGTAACGTTAATCTTAATTAAAAAGGCACGCGATTCTTTAAAAATGACCAGAGAATCCGCTAAAAACGTGGAGAAGGGATCTTGTCAAGTTTCTGACATATTAGAAGTGTTCGGACGCTATCAAATATTTCAATATGTACTCATCTGTTTGCCCTCGGTTTTCGTTACGATGATCGATATTAATTACGTCTTCGTAGCCGGAGATTTGGAATACAGGTGAGTTCAATTTTAAAAAGTCACTTTTCAGTTTAAAAAAATATAGCCTGGCTTCAATCGACCTACATTTTTAATTTATCGATTTATTATCGCTTCTAATGGAACTGCTGTTCACGGTAATAAACAAAAATACCTCATGGTAAGCTAAAGATTTTTCAATTAACTTCAATTAACAAGTACAAACTCTTTTCGATTTAGACATTGAGAATATATCATATCATAATTCATTTGATGACTCCTTAATAGTGTTGTTAATGATACACACAGCTTTTTTGCTGCTGGTAGGACCTCTTGTGAGTCCGCACGGGTAGGTACCACCACTCCGCCTACTTCTGCCGTGAAGCAGTATTGCGTTTCGGTTTCACGGGTGGGGTAGCCGCTGTAACAACTATACCTGTATAGCTGTAAATGTACCTTAGAATTATATCTCAAGGTGGGTGGCGGCATTTACATTGTAAATGTCTATGGGCTCCGGTAACCACTTAACACCAGGTGGGCGGTGAGCTCGTCGTTCCAACAGCTTCCAACAGCAACCTATTGCTTCTTCGCGGCAGAGGAAGGCAGGGTGGTGGTACCTACCCGTGGAGGCTCAAAAGGCGTCCTACCATAAGTCAAAATTCTACCCAAAAGCAGTTATGCATGCTTAATCAATGGGAGACTAATGAAATTTTAAATTCATGTCTCGACAGCATTCACATTGTATTTATAGCCCCGGCAACCACTTAACACCAGATGAGCACCCGTCAGCGCAATAAAAAAATGTTAACGAGCACTATTAAAAGACAAATAATAATTTAAAATAAACTTCAATCAAATTCTAAGCAAAATTATAACAAAAAACGAAGAAAACATACTTAATGTGTGTATTCTATAAAAATATTTTTATATAAAGTATTTACTCATTGATACCATGTTTGCATTGATACGTAATATGATCTATTACTTATTGTCATGAATTGTGTGCAAATTAATATTGTTTTACAAAAAGAAAAAAAATTCAATTTGTCGATAATTATTGCTTTACCATTACGTGAGATTGCGATGCTCAATAGTATTTTAAAAGTCATATTATCGCTGTGAAAATATTACACTGAAATAAAATTCTTGGTCACACTGCGATTAATGATAATTCCTAATCAGCATATGTCTATGAAGTACATAATTAAATATGTAAAAAGCTTAAAGAGCTGTAAACTTAAATCAAAGTTTTAAGTTTGATTCTGTGAGCGCTAATTTGAATCTCAGACTCAAAAGGACTATTTGAGATAATTTGGAGGTTAATTCGTGAATTATTTTTGGTCCTTTCACTATTTGTACACAGACTATAGTCTTTCAAAATACGCTACATATTTGTGACGTGGACGACGGAATGCAAGACAAGACAAGAAATCGCTGCTATGATTGAAATATTTGAATTATTAGCATGAAACTATCGATTTACTGAAACCTGAAGCGGACACCGGAAACCATAAAGAACCGATTTATGAACAGAATGAGGGCTGAATTAACACGTTGACTGCGTTATGCGAATTAAAAAGCCCCATGCGCGACTTTACCCTGGAGTGACAGTCAAAACCTTACGCTCGGTTCGAGAGGTGACTACGTCCACGTTCCCGTCGCTTGTGATGAAGGATTCGGCGAGTAAACTAACCCATAGCCCACTGAGTTACTAGCCGGATCTTCTCAGTGGGTCGCGTTTCCGATCCGGTGGTAGATTCTGCGAAGCACTGCTCTTGCTAGGGCTAGTGTTAGCAACGTCCTCAGGTTAAGAGCCCCGAGAGTTCACCTGCACGTTAGGTAACGCTGGCATAGCCTCTCAAGGCTAACAGCTTAGGTATAGAAAAAAAACTAAGGGAAATTCTTTTTTGCGTAGACCGACCCGATAAAGATGTACTTAAATATCAAACTACGACATTAGCCTTTGAACAAGGTTTTTGCAGTATCTCCCTAACTTAGTATCAAACCACACGGGAATCCGTGTCTATACACTTATGCTAGGGTTGTTTAAGTTTTTTAAAAAAGAGCCCTCTTAAGGGTATGGGTATTATCAATAACGGAATTTTGTGAGGACTACCTCTTACGTATATAAGAACGTAACGTACGGAATATCTCTTACGTACTGCAAAGAAGTACAATCTTGCCTCGAAAATACCTGTCACAGTCAAAACTTTAATTGTTGCGTTATTTACAATCATTGTGACAGTAACGTTTGTATCCACGTAAGTTAATCGGTTTGCCGGACAACACCGGTTTGACAAGCGACCTTATTCTTACGACACTATGTTATCCTGGTGTTAAATTCAAATAGTTCGACATATCAACGGTATTCTCATGCCATAGTCTATATCCTTCTATACCTATATAAGAATTATTTATGGACAAACTTGCTGTGAGCCGTTAAATACTTCGAAACAAAATGGTTCACCATTAGTCTATGTGATTCCTAATATTTGTCCAATGCATGAGAACAAGCTGTCGTCGATTGCGATTTGTCACAAGTATATATTCACGATAATGTTAATTATGAAGAGCTATTCCGTGAACTTACTTCATCATCGTCATCATCAGCAGTCCACTACTGGACCTCTCCAATTGCTCGCCACTAAGCACGACCCTCAGCTTCTCTCGTCCAGCTTCTGCCAGCCACTCTGCACAGATCATCACTCCACCGAGCCTGAGGTCGTCCTGCATTTGCCAATTAGCGGTCTCCACTCAAGAACGCGTTTACCCCAACGATTATCAGTTTTCCGGCTAATATGCTCCATTGCCATTCCAGCTCATTGCCATTTCAGAGTACTAATCCGCTGTGCTATGTCGATAAGTTTGGTTCTCTATCGGATCACCTCGTTCCGGATTCGATCGCTTAGAGAAACTCCAAGCATAGCTCGCTGTGCGACTTTAAACTTGTGGTCCAGCACACCCGAGAGTGTCCTGAGTCCCCTGAGTGTCCACGCATCAGCTCCGTAAGTCATGATAGATAGGACGCACTAATTAAAGACTTTCGTCTCTGTGTATAGTGTGTGAATAGACGACAAAAATACTTAATTACCAATTGGGTTTTCAAACGTTTTAACTAATAAAAATGGTTAAAAACGGTACGTACAATCGACAATTGGCTTAAGCGAATACGAAGGTCCCCCTGATCAATTGTCGTAAGCCAAAGTTCCACATGCAGCCCAATTTACGTACAACTATATTGCTCGTTTAAAAACAAAGCATATTTCAATCGCTTTCAGTAAACAAATGATTCGTTCTCTTGTTGCGTTTAAATACTGTAGAAGTAAAACATTACATTCGAAACAATCAAAAATACACGTCGCTCAGTATTATTTACGTTTCCAAACCTTGTTTTGTAGATTCAAGAATTATAAACCTATAACAAAAACCAAGTATCATCCTGCTATATAATATATATCTATAATATACATATAACTATGCTTTGCAACGGGATCATATGGACGTTAATAACGCTATACCGTCCTATAGATAAACTTGTTGTTACCCCACGTTATGTGGGGTCGGCGCAGCATTTTCTTTTAGCGTGCTGCATATGGAAACCCTTCTCGGGAATGCGCTCGTCGACTTGCGTCGACGGTAGCCAAAAAAGTCCCTTTGCAAAGTAGAGATGGGTTTTTCCAATTCTAAGCCAGGAACCGAATGTTCGCAACACAATGAACTGGTATTATAGGATCAGATTTTCCCGATAGCAACGATAGAGTGTTGTACAGGCTCCAATCTGAATCGTCCTAATTGTACACGTGTAATAATACAAGCAGACAACCTTGAAAAATTCCCTGTGGTGGGCGAGGTAGAAGGGAAAAGACCCGCCCGCCGGCCACCAAACCGTTGGTCAGATTAGAAAACTGCGCTCACTGGACTCTCTGTTGCGACCGCTCTGAGAGAAGCCGAAAACCGAAGGAAATGGAAGCTGATGGTACAAACAGCCACGAAGGGCTTTCAGGGACACGACCTTCAGCAATGAAGTATGCGACTAAGACAGAGGCGGATTATCCGTAAGGCAAACTAGGCACGTGCCTAGGGGCGTGTAGTAGTTAGAAGGGGCGCGCGAACTCAGAATTTTTAAATTAATAAAGAAAATAACTTATCGACGATTAAGAACTAAATGCCTGAACTAAATATCCTGGTCTACTAAAGTCTAGGGTTTGATGATACAACGTCATCGTAGTTACAAAAACAGCTAGTTAAATTTTATAGTATTATGATGGCCATTTACGGCCGGTACAGGGGGGCCGATAAAGTGATTGCCTAGGGTGCTCTAGACCTTTAATCCGTCACTGGACTAAAAAGAAGAATAATACAAGTGTTAACGCTTACAGGTGCCGAGTGAACGAATGCGAAGACACGAACTCCACGTCAGCGTTTCCGACCTGGTGGCCGAATTCCACTCGGGACAGATGCATGAGGCCCGTACTTAAGCCAGGCATTACTTCTTGTACAAACGAGAGCTTCACTCCCCAGTTGACGGAGTGCACAGATTGGATTTATGAGAGCAACAATACCATTGTTGCTGAGGTAAATTTGTGCTTTTTTTCTATTTCGAACGATTTTAAATACCGTCAAAAATACGTACAAACCGTGGATCGTCCAAGATTCCTGTAGATTCCCCTTTCTGTGAATCACAGTTTGAGTTTCGGACCCCACTATGACCAATTCAAAGTCCATCTACAAACCTGGATAAAACAAACAAACATTTTTTATCTACCCGTAATGTAGCGCAAAAACAATTGACCCGGGTCCTCGGAGGCTAAAAACTCGAGGCGTCACTATTTGTGACTACATTACGTGTAAAGCAACGTAGATATATACGATTCTCAATTGCTTTCATACAACTTATGTTCAAGTCTTATAACCGGAACACCTTTTTGTCTTGCCTCAAACATAGTGTAGGTATATCGTTTTTATTATTATTATCCTTGATTTATAGTATCATATCCCTTTTTTTGGGCATTGGTGGTTAAGGCGATTACAAAGTTTTTTTATGTTTAATTATTAGATGTGTGGACGAGCTCACAGCCCACCTGGTGTTAAGTGGTTACTGGAGCCCATAGACATCTACAACGTAAATGCGCCACCCACCTCGAGATAAGTTCTAAGGTCTCAAGTATAGTTACAAGGGCTGCCCTACCCTTAAAACCGAAACGCATTACTGCTTCACGGCGGAAAGTGTAAGACTTTGAACATATAGCGAGGGGGCTGAGCTTTTTGTAGGAATACGAATGTAGATTTTGACATTTCAACTTTTACAACAACATTTTGACTTTATTTGAGACTGATCAAGTTGTATAAATTAAAAGCGTTTTTTTGTTTGTTGCTTAGATGGTTGGACGAGCTCATAGCCCTGGTATTAAGTGGTTACTGGAGCCCATAGATATGTACAACATAAATGCCGTCACCCTTCTTTTTTTTTGGGGCCGGGGGCCGAACCTCCTACGAGGTCCCCGGGCCTAGGGGGCGCGCGGGCTATGTGAGACTCAACGATCTGCAGGTGTTGTGAGCAGGCCGCGGGCCCAAGGATTTTAGGGCCCACCCACTAAACGACTCCCCTGCACTCTTACACCCGACGTCCGATCTCCGTCCGGAGTGAAAACCCAGTAGTAGGGGGTTCCCGCGGTCAACACTACAACCAGACACGCGGCGCCACCCCGAGGACGCCCGACCAACGGGTCGTCGAGGCGATAGTCGACGACCAACGACGTCGGTCTCCGCGGTACGGCGGCCCTACCAGGCCAACCGGGCGATGCCGCTGGTGTTCCGGGATACAACGACTGCCCCATCCTTCAAACCGAAACGCATTACTGCTTTACGGCAGAAATAAGTAGGGTGCTGGTACCTACTCGTGTGGACTCAAAAGACGTCCTACCAGTGACATCTTAAAGTTCATTATTGTTATTAAAAAATAAGAAATAAACTAATTACAATTATTGTTACAGTTAAACTTGGCATGTCAACCGTGGAAATCGAATCTGATTGGCACAATTCACTGCATCGGCATGCTCGTTTCGATGTTCGTCTGCGGCTGGCTGTGTGACAGGTCGGTTGTTATTGTTTAATACTAGCCACCCGCCGTCGCTTCGCTTCGGGAACTGTAATTTATCATTAACTAGCTGGCCCGGCAGACTTCGTAGTGCCTCAATCGATAAATAAAAGACCTAAACTTTTGTATAAAATAAACTTAAAACAAACAAAATGAATCCGTCCGACGGGGGGGACATTAAAGGATAGACAAAATTGTTATTTTTATTTAATCCCGAGCATTTTCATATTTATCTACCTTTTAAACCTTCTCTGGACTTCCACAAATAATTCAAGACCAAAATTAGCCAGATCGGTCCAGCTGTTCTCGAGTTTTAGCGAGACTAACGAACAGCAATTCATTTTTATATATAAGTATATAGATAAAATGAGACGGCCGATATTTTTTTCCTACTTACTTGACAATTATCGTTATTACTATTTTGCGTAATTCACACTATCTTTATAAATTATAGCCTATGTGTTATTCTGATGTGTCAGCTATATTATTGTAAAGTTTTATCAAAATCCATACAGTAATTTTTGCGTGAAAGAGTAAGAAACATACATCCATACATTCTTACAAACTTTCGCGTTTATAATATTAGCAAGATTAGGCCGTCAGCGCAAAAGTTGCCTAAGCTTACCATAGTTAGTATGGAGATAATGAGGTTTGATTTTACTTTTACACTGTTTCATAAGCAAAAACAATACGCGCCAAAATAACGTTTAGAAATCCATCTGTTATCTACGAGTGAGTGATATAATATGAAAGATTGTGGGTTAGATCACTTTTGCGCTGACGGCTTCATATGTAATTACCGGTCACCGTCCTAGTTGAACCCGTCGCTTGCGACGAAGGGCTCGACGAGCGAATTAACCCTTAGACACAGCCCACTGAGTTTCTCGCCGGATCTTCTCAGTGGGTCGCGTTTCCGATCCGGTGGTAGATTCTGCGAAGCACAACTCTTGCTAAGGCCAGTGCTAGCAACACTCCCGGTTTGAGCCCTATCTGGTGGTTTGGCTATCAGCATTGGTAGGAAAAATGTGATTAAGCTGCACAAAATCAGCGTGTTTGTCTGTTCGTCCACTTGTGATCTGCCAGCGATCGGCTAGCACAGGTACTGCTGTCTCGTAATGTTTCTCTCATACACCAACAACTAGCTGAGCAGGGGTTTCAAATATGTGTTCATATATTACCAAAAGGCACTGCGAACTTTTTTTATTGCTTAGATGGGTGGACGAGCTCACAGCCCACCTGGTTAACAGGTTACTGGAGCCCATAGACATCTACAACGTAAATGCGCCACCCACCTGGAGATATAAGTTCTAAGGTCTCAGTATAGTTACAACGGCTGCCCCACCCTTCGAACCGAAACGCATTACTGCTTCACGGCGGAAATAGGCGGGGTGGTGGTACCTACCCGTGCGGACTCCCAAGAGGTCCTACCACCAGTGACCAGTGACCATTCTATGCGTCGACCAATTCAAAGGAGAAAAACCAACTAAATAATTAAAAATGATTAAATTCGCACAGTCGTCAGGCAAATTAATGTACCTACACAAAGGCATATTTTGTCTGTTATTAATAACATTTTAATGTTTTATGAAACACTAGATGATGAGCTTTGCTTGGTTTTTTTTTATAAAACGCCATCTTGTTGTGTTTTTAAAGCAGTTAGTTGCTCTCAATTAAGAAAAATAGTATTATTATTCGCCAATAGATGTCGGGAGGAGTCATAAAGTTGATTATCGATAAAGTTGATTATTGAAAACACGAATGAAACAACATTTTCTGAAAATAAATCGTAGCTAGATCGATTTATCGCCCCCGAAATCCCCTGTATACTAAATTTTATGAAAATCGTTGAAGCCGTTTGCGAGATTCAGATTATATACAGGTGTATAATAATTGCTCATTTAAAGCTATAAAATAAGATGTCTCTCAAACAGAAATAAGCGAATGGAAAAACCAGTCTGTATAGTATTAGACCGTATGTACCGACTGTATCTACCGTTACCATATTATCTTATATTTGTTTTGTTATTAACAAAGTAAATAATGTGATTCTAATTATTGCAAAAGTCTTGACTAGATCCACGTAAGAAAATAAATGTGTGATGAAATTCATGCGTGTGTTACAATTATATTGTTTGCCATTTGGATCAAATATTTTTATTATCTTTCAGAAGATGTACATATTTATATAACAGAATAACAGAAAAACGAATAGGTAAATTTGATATGTTTATCTTACGATATTTAAAAAATCTAAATATCACTGTAGTTTAATGTTTATAATAATAGCATATAAATCATAGAACCAAAACGGAATAAGTAATGGGACACCAAAAGAAGACACACAAAAAAACTGCCCATATTAATCCTACCTATACACTGCTGGTAGCCTAAGAGGCTATTCCAGCTACGCCCGGACTGGTAGGTGAGCTCACGTGCTCAACCTGAGAGAATTTGCTAACAATAGCCCTAGCAAGAGCAGTGTTTCGCAGAATCTACCATCGGATCGGAATCGCAACCCAGTGAGAAGATTTGGCGAGAAACTCAGTGGGCTGTGTCTATGGGTTAGTTCGCTCGGTGAACTCTTCGTCGATCACGACGAAGAGCTTAAAAGCTACGAGAATGGATGCGGGGGATCCAACAGAACATAATAAAGCCTTCCTTACTAGCACATTGCAATGGATATATGGAGATATAAGTCGAGGAAGGTTGACGTCAGGCAAACAAGCGGCCGGTCGTAAAACTCATACAAAATCCCTATTCATAATAAGGGTACCTACATTCTGCGCCACTCTCACATATTCTTCTCACTCAATGAGCTCACGGCTCTCCTGATATTAAGTGGTCGCCAGATCCAATAGACGTTAACAACGTAAATGCTTTCACCCACCCAGAGACATTAGTTCTAAGTTTCAGTATTCAAAGCACCGCAGCTGCCCCGCCCTTCAAACAACTGCTTCTCGGCAGAAATAGGCACGGCGGTGGTATCTACCGGTGCGGACTCACAAGAGGTCCTACCACCAATAACTACGCAAATTATAATTTATCGGGTTTGATTTTTATTACACGACGTTATTCCTTCACCGTGGAAGTCGAATCGTGAACATTTAGTGGAAGTGGAATCGTGAACATTTATTAAGTACGTATTTCATTAGAAATATTGGTACCCGCCTGCGGGATTCGAACACCGGTGCATCGCGCTAAATACGAATGCACCAGATGTCTTATCCTTTAGGCCACGGCAACTTCAAAACTCCACTCAACTCTATGTCTTATATTTTAATAATTTTGTGTATTGTAGGTACGGCCGGAAGCCAACCCTGGTCGTATGTGTGGTGGGAAGCTGCATCGGACAGCTGAAGAAATTTGCCACCACATGGGACCTGTACATCGTCATAGAGTTCCTCGAAGCGTGTTTGTCCGGTGGAAGCTACACTCCTGCTATGGTCCTATGTGAGTATCCAGCTGGATTCTCAAACGAAAATAATGTTTGGTAGTAATTTTTATTGAGCAATGGGGTAAATTAAAGCTAAACATACATCGCGGCGGAAATGGTACCTACCCGCGCGGAATACAATACGCCTTACCACTACTAATAAAAAGGTATTCACGGAAATTGCAATAGCATCGCACCGCCCGCCACCGGAGTAGAGTTAATCCATACTACCTGGAGCCACTGCGTTCATCCACAGTGCGTTTCTAGGGATCTTTTTTGCCACATACCATCCGGCTTTGGAATGAGCTCCCCTTCACGGTGTTTCCCGAGCGCTATGACATGTCCTTCTTCAAACGAGGCTTGTGGAGAGTACTTAATGGTAGACAGTGGCTTGGCTCTGCCCCTGGCATTACTCAAGTCCATGGGCGACGGTAACCACTCACCATCAGGTGGCCGTATGCTGGCTTACTTACAAAGGCAATAAAAAAAGTATTTCGCTGAAGAATTAAAACTCAATTCTATTATTACAACAATTAAAGGTAGAGTTCACTATCACAATCCCTACTCTTGAGTTGTCAGGTCTGCTTCAGAGGCGCTCGGGCAGCTGCTAGCAAATCCCACCCCTCCTGGCTGAACCTTTGCTCGCCCATCTGTCCTGGTGCAACTGGAAAGGCCTGCGGGCCATCATTAATCCTTCAATCATAAAAAAAACATTGTGTTTCTACATAGGCACATATTTATGATTATCGGTAGGCACCATTAATCCTTCAATCATAAAAAAAACATTCCGTTTCTACATAGGCACATACTTATGATTATTGGTAGACACCGGTAATCCTTCAATCATAAAAAAAAACATTCCGTTTCTATATAGGCACATACTTATGATTATTGGTAGACACCGGTAATCCTTCAATCATAAAAAAAAACATTCCGTTTTTTCATACTTAAGTATAATTATTGTTGTTTATTACAGTGCTAGAGATATGTGGTAGGAAGCATAGGATACTGTCGGGCGTTCTCTTCGCCTACTTCATCTACCTCGGGGAGTCGCTGTTCGCTTGCATCGCCATGTTCGCGCCTTACTGGAAGACAATCGTTACGATCATATACAGTCCCTTGGTTCTCTTCGTGTTCTACTTCTTCCTGGTCCACGAGAGTCCGCGGTGGTTAATCGTGAAAGGGAAAACCGAGCAAGCGAAAGCCACCCTCCGCAGAATAGCCGAAGCGAACAAGCTGGATTTGAACCATGAGGAGTTCGATGACCTCAACGAGGCGCAACTGAAACAGAAGTTCAATATAACAGACGTCGAGGTCAAGGAGAGGTTGGCTGCTGTCTTCATGTCGAAAGAGATCCTCAAGAGGCTGCTAGTTTCGACCGTGTGCAGGTTCACGGCTAGCTTCGTGTACTACGGGCTGATGATCAACTCCGTGTTGCTGCCGGGGGACAAGTACACGAACTTTCTGCTGGCGACGATCATGTCGTTTCCCGGGGAGCTGATCTCGCTGTATCTGATGAACAAGATCGGAAGGAAGCTGCCGCTAATGGTCGGGTACGTGATGAGCGGCGTGCTGTGCATTGGGTCAGGATATGTGCCGGACTGTAAGTACACGACATTACACTGACAATTCACAACTAAGATTGTTTTATCGACATTTTTAATAGAAGCAGTGCAATGTACGAACGGAATCTATGTAGGTTTTACATATGTGTATATATAAAAAAAAAACAAAGCTGGTTACTGCGTTAACGCTTCAGTTAATCAAGTGATTTTTTTTTATCGCTATAAAAAATCTTTATTGATGTCAAAATATTCTTTTTCAAGACGTCAGTATAGGGTTGCCACCTTTTTTTGTATATAATGTACATTGATAACGCACGACTTAGTAGAGGATTTAAATTAAGAATATAAACAAGGAGTGTAAAACACAAAATATAATATTTTACATGTAACAAATGTGAATATTGGAGAAAATTTGTTTACGCCCTATTTTCGAAATTCGAACATAGCCACTGACGCCTCAAGAGCTAGATTCGTTAAGATTCAAATTTTCTTTATTGTTGTAAGCAGAGTTCAATAAAAGGAGGTTCTCAATTCGACTGTTTAGAAGTGTTTTTTTTAGAGTTGAACCAATTTTGTAGGTTCTTTTTTCTCTGAAAGATTGTGCTTCTTGTAGTGGTCTAACTAAATTTTTATCCAGAACTGACCAGTGAGTAGATTTTGAGTTATTTTTAATAATGCACATCTAAGTAATATTTCGTATTACTGACGTATGTAATGTAAAACGGTTGCCAACCGTACTTTATATTAAAGTATTGTACGTTATTTCAGGTAATTGTACTCTGTACTCCATATTATTATGAAAAATAATGTACACGAAAATACTTTATTTGGCATGATTTGCTATCTTTCAGATTTTGAAAAGTTATGTATTTTTTCGTTAAACGAAATACATACATAGATTGTTCAATCGATTTATGTATCGATTCGATCGATCGACTATTCAATCGATGTCGCCACTCGCCGACGCCACATCACCGAAGCACTCGTTTTTTTAACAATTAATACCCATAGACCTATATAGTAGGGACGACATATTGTTCTAAACATACAATTGCTTATATAAATAGCACCCATTTTGAAGGCGCACACATAAATATATATATCTATCTCGTTCTTACTCAGCACATTAACTCGCAGGAAAACAATATAACAGTATTTCAGTGCGTACATAAAATGAAACATGAATATACGTAAATGTCAAATGAGGCCGAAAATCCGCCATGTTGAGCGCACCAAATGTCATTGTCACGTCAGTTCGGCCGTCTGTTTTGGGTTGTACATTATTTATTGACTTTGATATCGATTTAATATGATTGCTTATATAAAATTTCATATTTTATCATTCTTAAAACATAAAAAAAAAAAAATTAAAACGTATTTTATAGGATCTCAAGAAAGTCGATGCCCCAAAACTATTATCTATATATATTTAAATTCATTATGGAGCCCTCATCCGAAAAATCGGACACCATTTTTCGGTCGGAATCTATTGATCATGACACTAATCATAAATACCTCTTTAAAATATGTCATCAAAACATATTTAGACATTCTGTTTAGATATTTCGGGAAAAAGGCTACCGACAAAATCTCTTCGGAACTATTTAAATAAAATAGTTTTATTCCGCAGTGAGTAAAACACTGTTGTAAATTCGTTAAATATTTAATAATTAAGTGATTTTAGAGAGGAAGTCACAAGGAATGACGTTTGTAATTAATGAATAAATGTTCTGTAGGTGTTTTTTTTTTCACGCGGTCCCTTGATAAGTTTAAAATTTAAATCACTCTCAAGTGAAAGTGATTCAAATGGTGCGGCGCACCTTCCTTGAGGTGCGCTGCGGTAGTGTGTTACGGACTTTAGAGTCAGCAAACAATTAAAATAGATTGTAATAATGTCTAAGAAAAACACGTACTCAAAATACGATAGCATGCTAGAAATGGGCAAATGGCACTGTACTACGCCATATCTTTATGTTTTGCGACAAACGACAACTTTATAAAATCAATGTAGCAACTTTTAAAAATCATCATATCGTTTACTTGGCAAATTCGAAGGACGAACTTGTCTTAGATTTCACACATCTAAATCGTATCATATTTGCAAATAACAATATACCTACTTACTTCCCATTAAAGTATAAATTCTACAAATAAATAATACTCAACAATATTTAAAATAAAATGAGCCAAGAACGTTTATCGATAAAACCTGATAACATTGAAATCTTTTATAGAGCACTAAAACCGGTCACCGTCCTCGTCGAACCCGTCGCTTGCGACGAAGGGCTCGACGAGCGAACTAACCCATAGACACAACCCACTGAGTTTCTCGCCGGATCTTCTCAGTGGGTCGCGTTTCCGATCCGGTGGTAGATTCTGCGAAGCACTGCTCTTGCTAGGGTCAGTATTAGCAACTCTCCGATTGAGCCCCGCGAGCTCACCTACAAACGTTAGGGCGAAGCTAAAATAGCCTAGGGAGGAAAAAAAAAAAAAAACAGTACTTACACATGTCTAAACTCTTCTATCATTGTACCAATAGGTATTGTAATAATTTCTCTTCGTTCGTGATACTGCAACTACTGGAAATACTGGAATAGCTAGTAAACTTTGTAAATAAGATTCCTGAAGATACTGAGTATGAATCTATTTTTACTAACAATTTTTTACGACTTCAAAAACAAAATTAGGCAATCCACTCAGCATACAGTATTCTGAGGCAATCCAGACACTTAGTAAAAGAAATCGACACAATTACTTCTGTGCGTCACGCAAGACCCCGGTGACGTACGCCATGTAGTAGGCAACGTGTTAACTATAGTTATTATACTATGACAATTGACAATAAATAAGATAAAATCAACATATAAATATATCAATACCGATAGATAAATAATTTGTTTCCCTACCTATTCGTAAAGGGCTATTTCAGCCTCGCGCGGACGGATAGGTGAGCTCACGGGCTGAGAGAATTTGCTAACACTAGACCTAGCATTCTTGCTAGGGCAGTACATCGCAGAATCTACCACTGATTCGAGATCGCGACCCACTGATAAGATAAATAATAATAAATATATTTTTCCAATGATTACAAAATTGAATTGGAATATGTATCTAAAAAGGCAACACTAAATTGCAGCTCAGCTAATTTTTTAGTCTTAACAATTTTACTATCTTGCCTCGCATTTGTATTAACCATAAGTAAAGAGATTTAATATAACTTTTTTATTATTTCAGCGATGACTTGGGCGAAAATCTCTCTATTTCTATTTGGAAAAATGGTGATAGCCGCCTGTTACACGGGAGCTATCACGTACACGATGGAGTTGTTCCCGACCAGCGCACGTGGATCCCTACTCGGACTAGGATCTTTCGCGTCCAGAGTCGGAGGAATGCTGGCCCCTTTAACACCAATATTGGTAGGTACTACATTTATGAAATGCTCGGTGATTCTCTTACATCTTAATTTCAAGTTCACTATTTAGTTGTCATTATATTATTTACTAGCGACCAATACCGTCTTTACCATAAGGGCACACGGGGCCCGTGCCCAGGGCCCCCATTCTCAGGGGGCCCCGAAAGACCGACAATTTACCTCACAAGTTTATTCTCAAAACATTTTTGTCGGGCACATTACACTTTTTTCACAAATCAGTAATCAGAAGGTATTTATTTACAAGGCATATGCTATGCCTATAATAGAAGATTTTGCTCAACAGAAATCCCGAAAGAAACCGTTATCGAAATCGTAACCAAAAACCAGCAGCATTCTAATATCATCAATAACATATTATATCATACTGTATTTGATTACCTACAATAAATGGTCATACTCAGTAAAAAAATGTTATTATAATTCGCTTTTTTTACTTTCCAAAAAGGCCTCAAATTCTTGCCCAAGGGCCTCATCCTAGCTTAAGACGTCCCTGCTAGCGATCCGCCCTCGCTTCTAAGCATACATAGGGACAGAGAAAGCGACTTTGTTTTATACTATGTAGTGAAGTATAGATATTTCATTACAGAGCACAGTATCGCCGACTTTACCTTCAATCTGCTTCGGTTGTTCGGCGGTGCTCTCCGGGGTATTGCTGACGCTGACGCCGGAGACCAAGGAACTCCCTCTCATGGACACCGTACAGCAAGTCGAGGACAGCATCAGGAAGGCGAAAGAGATAGAGAGATCACAGCGTACATGAGTACGTAGTCTGGTGATGATGATTTCATCAGCCCCACAGACAAATCGTCGAGGCTTCTTTTTAAAATATAAGCTCAATGTTGGGTTTTTTTTTTAATTTTGTATAATTATAATTTATTTTTTTAACTTTATTTCATTTTTATTACTACCTACCTATTGTTGAAAAAATACAGACTCAATCTTATTCTTTGACCGACCGAGCGAAAATTCGTCTAATTTCTTATGAATTAGATGAGGTCACCTCAAATTAAGCGGTACACGGAGCCAATAGATATCAATCTCCCCTCACCTACCCTTGTGAAACTGAGAAGCCCTCCGGGCCTCCAGTAATCATTCAATCACAAAAAAAGATATCAACAACGCAAAATGCCGCCACCCACCTTGAGACAATCGTGTAATAAAAATCAAACCCACAAAATCATAATTTGCGTAATTACTGGTGGTAGGAACTCTTGCGAGTCCGTACGGGTAGCTACCACCACCCCGCCTATTTGTGCCGTGAAGCAGTAATGCGTTTCGGCTTGAAGGGCCTTGAAGCCGTTGTAACTATACTGAGAACTTAGAGCTTATATCTCAAGATCCCGTGGCGCATGTACGTTGTAGATGTCTATGGGCTCCAGTAACCACTTAAAATCAGGTGGGCTGTGAGCTCGTCTACTTATCTAAGCAATAAAAAAAAGACAAAAGTTCAGTCTCAGCTTTACAGTACCACGGCTAACATACAATCAGTATTCAGAGCTGCTGTTATCCGTGAGCAACAGTAACTGCATACCATAAGCTGCTGTTCGCTTCTCGTCTTATCTAGTCAACAAAATAGTTATAACCAATCTTTCACTGAAGCTTTGTAAAGGTGGTAAGTCGTCGTGGTCTAAAGGATAAGACGTCCGGTGCATTCGTATCTAGCGATGCACCGGTGTTCGAATCCCGCAGGCGGGTACCAATTTTTCTACTGAAATACGTACTTAACAAATGTTCACGGTTGGCTTTCACGGTGAAGGAATAATAACATCGTGTAATAAAAATCAAACCTGCAATATTTGCGTAATTACCGGTGCCAGGACCTCTTGTGAGTCCATACGCGTAGTTACCACTCTGCCTATTTCTGCCGTGAAGCAGCCGTTTCGGTTTAAAGGGTGGGGCAGCCGTTGTAGCTATACTGAGACCTTAGAACTTATATCTAAAGTTGGATGGGGCATTTACGTTGTAGATGTCTATGGGCCCAGTAACCACATAACACCAGATAAGCTGTGAGCTCGTCCACCCATTTAAGCAATAAAAAATTAAAAAATATTTTTGGTGCTTTAATTCTGTCGTAAATTCGTATTTATCATTATTATACTAGTCAATTAGAGGTGCTCTTAATAATGTGTGGAACTATCAACAGAGGTGTGTCACATATACATAAGCTCAGCTAACAGCAAATATTTTGATTAAATAAAAAACTCATTTTTATTTATAAATTTATTTACTTAGTACATCATATTATGTTGCATAATGAAAAAACTTAAAATCTATGTTAATACTTTGTGGATATAAAAATCTGTGGTTTCTGTAACACCAGTAAGTCTGCAGAGTAAATTAGAAAACAAACTACGGGTCTAACTTGTGTAGTTTTTAAAGAAAAACACTTCTAATAACCACTTCATGTAACTCTCGACAATAATAGAGAAGTATTTTTAGATGCAAAGTGAATATGTTACGTAGTGCAATATATAAATCTTAAACCATTACTCTTTAAACTAATTTATATTCAAACACATTCCGTAAAACGGGGTGAATAAGGGCAAATCCCACAATTTTTAAGGTAGTTATTGTTGAATATAATGCTATATCAGGATCAAAATGATTGAGTCTTAGGCGTATCTTTGTTATCCAATTTAAAATTGTGCAATTAGCATTCCAGTTTAAGCAAAAATACCTAGGCGATATCCCTATACAGATATTGGGGTTAATGGGGACGAAATTAGTGTTAATAGAGAAATTTGCTAGGGCTGGCACTACTTGGTTTTAGTTAATTAATTTATTTATTTATTTAGTTGCACCAACAAAGTCATCATCAATACAAAACACTGAAAAACTGACAAAAGTACATGGCAGATGTCATCTCAATTATAGGTGAAATCGACAGCGCATTGACAATAAAAAATATATATATAAATAAATGACGCTTTAAAAAAGTCTCAATATAATTCACACCAAGTAAGTTATCAGTGAATCTTTTTATTTTTCTGCTAATTCGATCTAAATATCCCTTTATTATTATATGCAAGTCATAAGAATCAAGTGGATATCTCCACTCTGAACAAATATTAATATATTGTATTATATATTTCTCTGCTTCTTCACTTAGGCATTTTTGTCCACCTTGAGATTTCATTGTTCTTGTTATACGTCTGTGCAAAACCGACTTACTAATATTAAATTGCTAAGCTATTTCAACTAAAGACTAATTCCCAATTTCATAGGCTTCTATTGCTGTTTTTAATATTAAGGGATCATATCTCTTAAAAGGCTTTGCACTCTTTGATACGTATACGCGAGGCATATCTAAAAATAAAAATCTGTACGTCACTGACAATATAAATATTTGCCAAGCAATAAAATAAGACTGCATTAATAATTAAATGAAAGTTCTAGACAAAAACATCATGAATAAACCAGATTCTTACCTACACATTTAAAAAAGATTGTTTTAACTACACAGACAACCCTACTATAGACCTACCCTGTACCTATTCATACTTAAATCTTCCCAATTTAACTTATTCTCATCCCACCAATTGACCTCTTTTTCGTGTTTATTTATACCTGAGACGTCCCGGGACGTCCCGTAACAACCGGGACTTACATTTAATATATATGATGGCCCAAACACTTAATAACGTTTATAAATCACAGTTGTCTTCTATTATTATCAAATCAATAAAAAGAGCAAGTTTCTAGCACTAAAATGATTACCACCACAAGAAATTAATTTGAAATGCGACATTTTGAAAGGTAGCATCTAATGTCATGCATATTCAGAGTTGCTTTGTGAACTTTCAAACATTCTACTATTACACTACAAAAAATGAAAGATTTTGCAACGAATATAAAATGAATATTAAGCGTCGAAACATTTCCTGGTTTCATCCCGATTCACCTCTCAATCCCTATTCACCCCGTTTTACGGTACTCCGGTTTTTTTTTACTTTGTTGACAAAGGAACTAATCTAGTGTTTGAACGGAAATATATTTTTAAAGTTCTGTGCTCGGTGCCGCGTCGACGTAGGCCTTGACCTTGGGGATGGCCAGGACCGCCTCGATGGGCTTCCTCAAGGCCGGGTACTTCTGCTCCAGATCCGGCTTCTGGAGCATCGCCTTCAGGTAGTCGTACATGCCGGCGTACACAAAGTCGCCCCAGGTCAACTGAAAAATCAGTAAATTAAATGAATATTTGGCTTGAAGGGTGGGGCAGCCGTTGTAACTATACTGAGACCTTACGACTTATATCTCAAGGTGTGTGGCGCATTTACGTTGTAAATGTCTATGGGCTCCAGTAACCACTTAACACCAGGTGGGCTGTGAGCTAGTCCACCCATCTAAGCAATAGAAAGAAAAGTGTCAAGTGTTGATGGCTTGATGCACTACCCCACATCATAGCTCTGTTTAATTGAGAATATGTTCCCGGGTCGGGGTATCGATACCTGGACCGCCGAGGGTGCGCCCTTACCTTGCCAAGCGCGATATGACCGTTGTTCTTCGTCAGTATCTCATTGAGTTTCTCGAAAAAGAACGGGTATTTAGTCTCCTCCAGTTCAGCCCTCTTCTTAGCTTTGACGGCCTCGTCTTTCTCGTAGTGGACCGATGCGGCACCTGAAGTAGAAGACCATAAGATGTTCAATGGCCGCAGGCATTATGTCGTCCTCTCGCATTAAAACTGTATAATCTCAAAACTTACTAAATTTTACAGGAGAGTGTTTTAAAGGTTTTTTTAACATGTGATATTTTTAATATTAATCATCTTTGCAACATTTATTTTTTAGTTTTTACCAGTTACATGATCTGTTTTTTAAAGTAAGATCAAATTATGTATTAATTTTGTTAATAGGAATTAAAATATAGGTAAAGTATAATAAAAAAAAAAAAAAGAATCGAAACTACGTTCTTTTGACAGTATTTATGAGAAAAATACTGGTGATACCAAAGGATTCCGCATATTAACTCAACTTCGAATATCTTTGGAAATTGTACACTTTTAATGCGAAATGACGATTTGTCAAGACCATTTTTGATTTTATATATTACTAACGACCCGCCCTGGATTCGCTTCGGGTACTAAAATTTATTGAATTTTCTTTTATACAAATCTGATCTTTGCAACACGCGTTCTGTCAATGTAAAAATTATATGTCAAACGCCAAAAGATTGCAAAATTTAATACGATCTTTAAGTTTTCTTAAATTTTCAAATATGACGCGGAATTTTCTTTAATTTTTCTTATCATAAGAACTATCTCCTGACAATAACAAAAAAAAATATTATCCAATTTGTTGCCGTCGTTCTGAAGTTGTGCGCATACGTACATACATTACGCATATTCATATTTATTTTGATATTATGAACGATCTTTGTAAATGCTAGAGTTTAACCCACTGAGTATCTCGCTGGAACTTCTCAGTGGGTCGCGATTCCGATCCGGTGGGAGATTCAGCGAAGCAATGCTCTTACTAGGGTAGATCTAAGCAAATTTATTTTTCCTACCCAAGACAATGGTCTAGAGCAGCGGTCGGGGAACTTTTTTAATTATTACTACAAAATATTTTTGTGTAAGTTGATACTACCCCATGGCGAATAAAAAAAAAATCGCTTCTTTTTAGCATCTTTAATATTATAGCCTCCATGATAATTTGAAATCACAACGATTCTAAAGAAGTTTCAGTTCAATGTATACTTTTTACTCACAAAAGTTTCATTTTTATCCCCCAAAATTTCATTTTACCCCATTTGGGGTAATTTACCCCGGTTCCCCGACCTCTGGTCTAGAGATACCATGTCAGCGTCGCCGGGCTAGTAGGTCAACTCACGGGGCTCAAACCTGACGATGTTACTAACACGAACTCTTGCAGAAGCCGGGCTTCACAGAATCTACCACTTGATCGGAAACGCGACCCACTGAGAGAAGATCCGACGTGAAACTCAGTGGGCTGTGTCTGTGGGTTAATTTACTCGCCGAGCCCTTCGTCGCAAGCGACGGATTCGACGAGAACGATGACCGGGAACGTCTCATATTGGACCACGTGAACTCGCTACTAGTGAGAGTGAATGAAGCCAGAATATCCCCTCTAGGCTAGTGGCAGGTACGTAGACAAAAAACAATATTTTGAAATCTCTTAACACTCAGTACAAAAGTGCCACTGACTTTGTTTTTTTCCAATTTTTACACTCCACGTTTACAGACTTATTCAGACCAACTTGGTAAATTTGGAGATATATGGTATTAGTATACCATATATCTCTTAAATCAAGAGATTGAATTAAAAAATACTTGCAGGTAACATGTATGTCCTTTTTTTAGTGCCCTTGTAGGCAAACGAGCATACGGCCCTGCTGAAGGCGAGTGGTTACCATCGCCCATGGACATCAGCAATGCCAGGTGTAGAACCGAGCCCTCGTCTACCATTGAAATACGGTATTCCTGGAATGCTCTACTCACTGGCGCGAATGTCGTTCAGGAACTCCACGTTCTGGTCGATCTCGAAGGCCTCCTCGTCATTGGCCCCGGCGAGCCCGTACTTGCGACCGAGGTACCTGCAGATGGCGGTGCTCTGAGCGTACTGCTTGCCGTCGATTTCCAGCACTGGCATTTGACCGAACGGAGTCTCTGAAGAACGAAAGCGATACATTAAATAGAAGATGTGCTAAGTACTCTTAAGACAATACGTATGGACCTGTTGGCGCGAGAATGCGACCAGCGAAGTTGTGTTAATTATTTTATTTCGTTAATTTAAATTTCCTTTAGCTACAAACGTTAATGGTGGCTTATTACCCGCTTAGCGTCAGTGAAGGTACGCCTGTGTGGAGAGATAGAACACAACCGCTGAAGATTTTTTTAATTGCCCTTGTAGGCAGACGAGCATATAGCCCACCTGATGATGAGTGGTTACCGTCGCCCATGGACTTCAGAAATGCCAGGGGCAGAGCCAAGCATCTGCCTACAATTCTCGGGTTCCACCAAAAATCTCTAGGCCGGTAACCACCATTTTACCGAGAATATATTTCATGTCATCTCAACTTCATTTAATTTCATTCCAATTGATTAAATTACCTCAAATTCAACTCATTTCGCTTCACATGATATTTCATAATAATATAACAGGACGTTTACAGAAAATATAAAACTGGGCTTAAAGGTCTCGTTACCAGGATGCAAAGTCTACAAAAAAAAGTATCAATATTAGTGCAGAAGGGTTATTAAGCCTGATAAAAAATAGGTTTTTTTTAATTATATTTTTAGTTATTCCAATTGAAAAAGGATGTTAAGAACCAAGGGCAAAGATTCTAAACCAGCAGTGAGAGATTTGACGACAAACATTCAACTGGTCGCTAAACTATTGTACAAATTCGGTGTCTTTTCAATTGCTTACATATAAAATAAGTCCGATCCAAATTGCACCTTTGTTGTGTCCAATTTCGCATCCGCGTTAGTAGGTAACGAGATAGTAATAGAGCATCAAGGTCGCGTCCCCACTCAGGGCTGTCACAACCAAATATTTAAATGTATAAAAATAATATATCGACGCTTGAAAGGTAAACATGACTAAGCGAAAATGCGTGTGAACTTTACAGTAGATTGATTTAAAGTTGAAATACCTGAAAAAATTTTTATTTTAACGAATCTAGCTGTAGGATTGAAATGATTATAATAGACCTAGAAATATATATTTTTTGCGCATCCAATATGGTTATTGCCTATCATTTATGTATAAAACAGTTATTGTCGCTTAAACCTTGTTCGCACTAGGCGAGTATTTTAGTCGACGAGTAATTTAGTAGCTAAACTACTCGCTACTCGCCCGAAAAAATAGAACAAAATGGATTGACTTGACTAAATTATTTACTAACCTACTCGACTAAATTTTTGGTGTTCAGACACATTTAGCTACTAAATTACTCGGTACTCGACTAAAATACTCGCCTAGTTCGAACAAGGCTTTAGTCACGTTTGCCTTTCAAGCGTCGACATAGTTTTATTACATTATATGAAAACTTGTTATATTCGTTTTCATGAATTAAATTTTATGAGTAGGGAACGAGAGATATGTTAGAAATCGATTTACCTGTCCTTCTTTAATGAGAGTGTTAGAAAAGGTTACTAGATCTCTTATGTCCCCAACAGCTTCAGAGGTTATCTGTTATGACTTATGTCCCTAACAGCTTCAGAGGTTTGAGCAGTTTTATATTTTTGCGCGCTGATCAGAACGTTAATTAGTACTTGATAGCTACAGATTTACGCAAAAAACCTCAGCCATATTGGCCATTGGTACCGATACACCACAATATCGTACGGATATAACCCATTTTTTCTTAAGTCGAAACTAATGATTGCTTACAAGGAAAACTGCATAGTTTAGTGCAATAGTGGGTAGTTTGAAATTTTACTATTACATGAATTATTACATCAATGTGCAAGAGTAAAATCGTAATCAGTAAGTAACCCTAAACAATCAACCAATTGAAATGATTGAACATTTTGAAACAACAATATGTACTGTTCAATATTATCATAGAAATAGTCACTTATCGCGATTCTCACCACACCGGGACAGCATTGTCGATAACGCACGAGATAAATCAGATAAAGCTGTGAAACTCACTATCTGCTGTACGGCATTTTAATCCGGGCGCGTCTTTTGATATATGCGCTCAATTACATTATACAGTATACATATCACAGTTGCTATTCGTACTTCAAGGAAACTTCTTTGGTGTTTGATTAGAAATAGTCGTTTAAGGGAATAGCTTTTTTTTTTTATTAAACGTCGATAGATCGATTTTCTATTAAAGCACAAAGTGAGGAGCGTCGGAATACCGACTATTTGCGCTTGATAAGGTATTAGGTTATCTATCTATTCGGACGATAACGTTTTTAATAAGTTAATAACATATATAATTACGTACCATTTAAAAATATTTTACTGGGACTTTAGCATTGATTTTTGTATTTTTTTTTTAAAGTTCAATACTTTCTTTAAAAAAAGCGTTAAATAGCTGTCTAACAACGCTGATTTCTTTCAACATAACAATGCAATCAATCAATCACTATTGAATAACAACCTTACAACAATAATCACAAAAAATACAGCTTAAAATAGACATTGGTTATAATAAATAAGAGATCATAAATATTTTATATCTACTATGTTATAAGTTTAAGCTCTATTTTGACTTGTATAGCCGAGAAGCGCCAGTCATTTCGACAAATTGATGTACATACATACAAACAGCGTATGTATATTATTATGTATTTAGTACATACAGCGAATGATGGTAAAACGCGTGACCTCGCTTCGATGATAGCGTAATAAGATTGTTAGGTTGTTTTTTGATTCGTCTGTTTTATCATTACGTTAGTTTATTTTTTTTCTACTCACCGCTTATAATAAGCCCTGCCGTTTAAAACTCTACTGCGCTAGTTAAAAAAATATAGTATACAGGGTGTTCCAGAACTCATCATCAAGCTGAAACGGGGTGACAGGATTGATTGTAATCATTATGAGAAAATTGGAAATTATGGGCATTTAAGAAAAACCTAGAAATTTAGTCAAACTGTAACCATTTTTCGTTTATTATGGTTAATTTTTATTATTTTTGTTCATTTAAGCTTTGGAACCGTAACCCTAAATAACATTTCTACAAACACAGTCAAAAATAATGACAACTGTCCCAAGTTTTCTAGAATTAAGACTATTTGTGAAACTATAAATATAAAATTTTCAAAATTTGTCGATTTTGAAAGACCCTCCTTTAAAAAAATGTACTAACTAAAGTGCCTTGGCAAGTGCCTTAGCAAGTGCCATTAAAAGTTCGCGCATTTAATCAGGATTGTAAAACGGTACAATACTTGTTAGTTTCATACTAAAAAAAACTAGTAAAAAAATAGAAATCTCGAGTAACCCGATTTTTGCTAACCCACTTTACTCAGCTCAAATGTTTTTTTATTAACAGTGCTCAAATTTTTTTTTATTTGTGTCACTTGCTTATTTATATTAGTATGAATTATTTAATTTATAGGAAGGAGGTGATGAGAAAAATCAATCGTATTTACCTATGTATTGATTGATAAAGTTGCTTTTTTACGAAATCAAGAATGTTTTCTGAAAACAAAGTTACAAACTAGTGCCTAAGGTCAGTGGTCTTAGGTTTTGCAGACACAATAACTGTAGGTCCTATACTGCCATGAGTATCCTCTAAGCTTCGCCTGGTAGAACAGGTTGAGAGTCCGCTTGTACCGGTTTTAAGAGTAGAAGACTATTTATTACAATGAATCATTTTTTGGGTTAGAAACTGCTCACCGCCGCTCATGTGTATGATCAAACACATAGCAAAATCCGTTGCTTACCACTGAGGTGTACCCCCACCTCAGGGCAAACCTCATGCGGAAACGTCTTCATAAAACGCGAGTTCTTTTTTCTTTTTTTTTATTGCTTAGGTGGGTGGACGAGCTCACAGCCCGCCTGGTATTAAGTGGTTACTGGAGCGCATAGATATCTACAACGTAAATGCGCCACCCACCTCGAGATATAAGTTCTAAGATCTCAATATAGTTTCGACGGATGCCCCACCCTTCAAACCGAAACGCATTACTGCTTCACCGCAGAAATAGGCAGGGTGGTGGTACCTACCTACCCGTGCGGACTCACAAGAGGTCCTGCCACCAGTAATAGTGATGGGAGTTCATTCCAAAGTCGGATGGCACGTGACGGTAATTTCTTTAGAAACTCTCTCTGTATACATAATATGAACGTTTTGAATTTTAACTGACTTCGGACTTCGCCCTAGCATGCCCATAACGACTAGGAGACAATGTGGATAAGAATCTTTTATCAGCAACGATCAATGAAAAGATCAGATGCCAAGTTTATATGCCGATAACACTTATGAAAGCCAGACTTAACTACATTGACTCAGATAAGTAGAACGCTCGAACAGCCAATAGGTACAAATATTAATTTATTAACAAAAAAAACAAACGTGTGGCACTCGGGAACTGCCGCGGTAAAGCTATTGCATAGCATTTTTTATCAACTTATGCAATTATAATTACACAATGATAATTTAATATTAAAACAATAATAAAACAAGACCACGCTATATTAAACATTAATAAAAGCTTTTGCTTAACTGTCCCCTTCACACTCATAATCTAGACCGCGCGAGAGAGAGATAGGCAGACTTTTCATGATGCGCATGCAGTGTGACGTCACGCCACGCGCTTATTCACAAACACTACACAAGCGCAACGTGTGAATGTTTGAACGCGAGCTACATGGTAGGCGAAGTGAGGGGTGTAAGGTTTTTTTCGTTACGGAATTTCATGATTCGGTCGCCGCGCTCAAGGCCCGCGATAAAAGCTATGCAATAGCTTAAAAATCATTAATTCAACTCAACAATTCGACTTCTTTCATAGAAAACAGAATCGTGTCACAAAATTCCGATAAGAGTGAATGAGCGGATGTATTGACAATGACGGTATAAGCATTCGTTATAAAGAGGTCGTTGAACCGATACTGTATAAATACGTTCGTATAATGTTGATAAAGTCTAATGTATCTAGAACTTTCTCGTTACCAATGAATGATGTGAGAGCGTGTTTGAAACATATCTTCGTATATGGGTTGTTCACTGTATATCGAGGAGAGAAAGGATATTATTTATTTCTACATGTGTGTTTTAACGACATTTCGGTTAATACGCGACATTTATCTTTCGTTATTAAAGGTCCGTTTTATTTGATATTAGCATCAACAATTCGGATATTTTTAATCGAAATTCAATTATATTTACACCATTCAAAGTTTTCTTTCAAAGCTGAAGTTTTTTTCAAATTTCAAACCTTAAATGGCTCTCATGTAAAGTTTCAAAAATATAGCTTTATAATAGAGAACCGTATACTGAATCGAAACGACAGTAAATTACTATTAAACTACGAAACCTATGTATTATGTTTTGGTACATTTAGCTTGTTTTCTTTCATTTAATTTGGAATACAAGCTAACAGTATCACCTTTTTTTTTTCTACCTAAGCTGATGGTCTAGAGTCTAGAGAGACCATATCAGCGCAATCTTAACTAGTAGGTGAGTTCACGGGGCTCGAACCTGACGATGTTGCTAACACGAACCCTAGCAAGAGCCGTGCTTCGCAGAATCTACCACCGGATCGGAATCGCGACTCACTAAGAAGAGCGACACATCGTTCGTGAGACCTAGAACTAGTTCATAAAAACAAATATGTATATTGAGGACTTATATAATCAAAAACTTACTAGGTTTGAATTCTGGCCAGTTTTCAGATGAAATGCGATTGTCTTCGAACTCCTGGCCGCCATAAGCCAGCAGCAGCCTCTGGCTCTCGCCAAGAGCCTTCACGGGGAAGTAGTAAAACTTAACGTTCGGCATTGTCCTGTAAGGAAATCCATTAGCGTAAATACGTAACCGAAAAACCATTGTAACATAACTCAGCAAATCGCCGGACTCCCGCCCTCCACTGGCGATGGAGGGCGGGGTATGTCAGAGTCGAACTGACTAAAACCTCCTGTCGCTCAACAAACAACGTCCAAACCTCGCATGAGTCAGAACTCATGAAAAGGCAAAGGGGGAAAGTGAAGCGTTTAGTGAGGATTTTTTTTTTTTATTGCTTAGATGAGTGGACACAGCCACCTGGTGTTAATTGGTTACTGGAGCCCATAGACATCTATAACGTAAATGCGCCACCCACCTTGAGATATAAGTTCTAAGATCTCAGTATAGTTACAGAACTCAGCAGTCTAACTCATTTAGAAAATTATATAAAACTAAAATTAAATTCAAAACGATCAAATAGCAAAGATAACTGCAATTTCATTTAATTTTTCTTATCTATATGATATATAAAAATGAATTGCTGTTCGTTAGTCTCGCTAAAACTCGAGAACGGCTGGACCGATTTGGCTAATTTTGGTCTTGAATGATTTGTGGAAGTCCAGGGAAGGTTTAAAAGGTAAATAAATATGAAAATGCTCGGAATTAAATAAAAATAACAATTTTGTTTGTCTTTTGATGTGTCCTCCATCGGACGGATTCCTTTTGTCTTTTATTTATCGATTGAAGCACTACGAAGTCTGCCGGGTCAGCTAGTTCTGTTATACAAATCAGGATATTAAGGCGAAGTTATAAAATTATCGTATCGTCATTTTATCATTGAAGCATGTGCGAATTTTCAAAGTTAATCACACATTTTAAACTCTTTGAAAAGTTTCCGTTACATACACGTCGAGCTAGTAAAATATTGATAATATAGATAGTTTACGCACACACACACGCGCACGCACACGCGCCCACACGCGCGCGCACTCACACACACACACACACACGTGGCAGTTGGCATTCTTACATCAATTAAAAAAAAATATTATATTTTTATTTAATTCCGAGCATTTTCTTATTTATCTACCTTTTAAACCTTCTCTGGACTTCCACAAATAATTCAAGACCAAAATTAGCCAAATCGGTCCAGCCGTTCTCGAGTTTTAGCCCGACTAACAAACAGCAATTCATTTTTATATAAAAATATATAGATAGAAGATAGATTATAGTTCTCCTCATTCAGCTTTCGAATTAATTGTAAAGTTAGACCCTTGACAACAGCGACAACGCCTGATAAGCAATATGGTGTGATAAGACAAGCCCAATGAATGTTTAGTAAATATTACGTACTGAACAAAGTGTAAAACGTTCTGTAATAATACTTCGAGAGAAAAATAATGCCGACAAACAAACATGGCGGTTTTCGAATTACCGCCAATGTGAATAGAAAATTGTAACGTAACACAGATGTATGGTTTTGTATATTGTGTTGTTTTATTTGTCACCAAACGCAGAAGACGCAAGTGTACTCGTATGTGTCGGTGTTTATTTCAATTATTTTCATTTTTTCTTATTTAAATGCAAACGGAAGGATTCGAATTCGAGTCCTACACCCCAGCAGAGGGTAATATAGGAAAGAAGAAGAAACGCAGACGCGCATATGATGGTAACAATCTCAAAAATTTATAATAAACTTGAAAAAACATTCAGAATTCTAATGGGCTTAATCTTACGTAAACTAGATATTCTTTTCATGGCCTAGTTACAAGTATGGCTAACAACTGCTACATTTGCTTTTAATTCGCGTTCACGTAAGCAATTATTTAGCTGTATTCTCCGATGCTGGATTGTCTATGGATTCATGAGACACGCCTCCCTATCTTCCAAATTTAGTATTAGTTCTTTTTGTCCATTAATAGCACAGAGTTAAACAAAAAAATGGGACCAATTCAGAATAAAAGAAGACGTAATAATATGGCTTGACGGACTATACGAAATGAGAAGGGTTTTTCCATTCCGCTGAGAGTACCTTAAATTAGCGGTTGCGTGATTAATACACTATTTGAAAATAAAATATAACGGGTAGGTATTTGATTAAAACGACATTTTTGTAACTATACAGAAGAGCCATTTAAAGTAAAAACATGAAAAAAAATATCATAACAAAAAACTTCATCAGCTATTACAATAGAATAAACTTAATTGAAGTTCAATTAACAACATTGCACTGTTGATGCTAATACCAAATAAAACGCACCTATAATTATTACGAAGATAAATGTCGCGTGTTAAGCTAAATGTCGCTTAAAACCTTTCACCCCTCAATATGTTTAATAATACACCTAATAAGTGTGTATTATACTCCGAAGAAAATGATAATACATAACTTCATAAATAATATTTAAAAAAACAACCAAAACGTTTTTTACGTCAAAACCGACAAAAAAGAAACAGGTAAAACTTCATAGGAATTTAATTATCTGCATTACAAATCTAGTGTTGTTATTAATTAGCATTTTTAGGCTATTTTAAGTGTTTTGTTTTTCTTTAGTATTAAACAGAAAAATTAGATCAGGCAAGCTGACGCTTAGGTCAAGGACACGGTGGTCACGGATTCTAACCACAACGTTGATCAAATGTATGGTGTAATATTTAGCAAGGTTCGTCCACAGATGTGTTGTAATGTGATGTAATGTTTGGTCACAAAATCCGCACCATTCACCGGTCATTAGTTTATAAACCACAGATTAAAATCTAACTGTAGTTCTAGTCCGAACTACTCCGAACAGACGAGAGTGGGTAAACTTTGTAATAATGGATAAATTGGACGACAATATAATTTAAGGTCATAATTATTGTTATTACCGAGTATAACTGTAACAAAATATAACCTATTCTTTATCGTTAATAATTTAGAACAATAGATTTCACTAGAATATTCCAGAATTTTGATCGAATTATGTTCCATAACTTTTAAGTTATAAAAGAAACATATGATTGAATAACCTAACATTTAAACGAGTAAGTCAATGTTGAAAGTCTTCAAACTAATATGAGTTTTCAAAGTTCGAGAAACTGTATTCATTTTGAAAATAAATGTATATAAAATGAAAAATAATACTGTTTCATCCTGGTTCCATCGAATTTCTTACTTTGAGACTGTATTCATTCATATTTTACACCTATATTTTAATATTGTAGAACTACAAACTTACGGGTTATTGTGCAATAATTAATTGTTCAGTAGCACGTCGCACCGTGTTGGAACGAAAAATGAAAATAAAAAATAGGTAACTGAAATAAACACCAACGTAAATACCGGCGACCGGTTACTTACGTCCATAGATAGTAGTAGTTTTATTTTTCCAAATGGAAAGGCAAAAGTATCATACCATACAGCCTAATCTTTTGTATATATATAATATATATATTTTTTTATGAAATATGATATTAAGAAATAAAATGAAGTTGATTAATAAGAAAAATAGCATGAAATGAAATGAAATAAAATGATAATATGGAATGAAATGAAATGAAGATGATTAATTTGAGTCATTAATCAGCTGGGATGAAATTAAATGAAATGAGTTGAGATGATATGGGATGAAATATAATCTCAGTAAAATGGTGGTCATTTTCTGAGATTTTTTTAGTTGACTTTTTGGAGGATTTCGAGAAGCTACGTCCAGCGGCTTTGTTTTATTTTCCCCCATTTGTAGACTTTCACAGATATTAAACAGTTAATAAACCACCGCTATTACACATTTAAAACTGAAGAAACACTAAATAGACAAAATAAAACAAATCACACAACTTCACTCCTCGCGTTCCCGCCAAAAAGTCCGTCCATAGATAGTAGTAATAGTTTTATTTTTGCAACTGGAAAGACAAAGGTATCATGCCATACAGCCTAATCTGATATATTTTCTAAATATGAAAAATGATATTATGAAATGACATGAAGTTGATTAGTATGAAACATAGCATGAAATGAAATGAAAACGAAATGGAATGGATGTAATATAATCTCAGTAAAATGGCGGTCATTTACTGAGACTTTTTCAGTGAACTTTTTGAAGGATTCCAAGAAGTTATGATCAGCGGCTTTGTTTTATTTTTCCACATTTGTGCCCTTTTACAGATACTAAACAGTTAATAAACCACCGTTATTACACATTTAAACCTAAAGAAACACTAAATATAAGAAAAAAGACAAATCCCACAACTTCACTCCTCGCGTTCCCGCTTTATAATATTTAAAGTTACGTCGACGATCAGCCAAAATCAGCCACAACAGTCAACTTGTATTGCGGGATTAGAGATCGACTAAAAATATATCGATTTCTTCGATTAAAAAGGAGATGTTTATGTTTAAGAACATTACTAATCCGAAGCCGTCATTTTGAGTTCAAAATGGCGGCTGTCATGATCAAATACAGTTCTAACTAGTTACTCAGTATCAAATTCAGCAATGTCCTATAGTTGGAATCAAAGACAGCTAAATGCAATTTTATTTTTACTCTGTACACAAATATAAAGGAAGTTTTGTCATTTAAAATTTATATTATTCGTAATATTCTCATTCCCTATAAATCTGTTTTAAAATATAGAATATCGTAGTTACCCGAACATAGTTATCGATTTTTGTAGTTTTCTGAATATTTGATAGACTTGGATTTAGCTGCCTTTGATTTCATAGGCCTCGTATATTCGTAAATATTCTGAATCAAATTTTTTTAGTCGATTTCATCCGTTCATCCGTTTTCTGTTCAAATCGATTCAAAAGTCTTTAGTGTGAAGAATTGACATCCCTAAATAAAAACAACCAGTGCTTCCATTTCTGAAAATCAAATTTGCTCGACATTTCAAGACGTTCTAAATCAACGAATATTAATTTAAATCTTCAACACGTTCTAAAATTTTCAACGAATATTAATTTATAACACAGCGTATAACATGATACTTAGAATCACACGGTTTAAGGGATCAGAACGATTTTAAGGTATTTAAAGATCACTGGGGTTCACTAACTTGCATAGGCATTCTTTTCATCCGTAAATTCTTTAAATGAAGTACCGCCCCTTTGAACCGTTCGTTATTCTTATAATACATTGAATTATAATATAAATAGAATATTGAATTGTGTATATCTAAAGGCTTGTATTTACGTTCACGCAGATGCAAAGACATCAAAAACGAGTAAAAGAAACACTTAGACAACAAAAACAAAATATTTATTTAGTTAGAATATTAGAATTCAAATTCGTATGGCCTTCCCAAATCTAAGAAAGCCTTCACTTTGGGCTGTGTCAGGACGGATTGCAAGACTTTCTTGAAAGCAGGATATTGCACTTCCAGATCAGGTATTTGAAGCATGGTTTTCAGGTAGTCAAACATGCTGGTGAACACGAAATCACCCCATGTCAGCTTGAAGAGAGAGTATTAAAGTTAGTTTACATTTTTTTAGATTTCTTTCACATTAGATCGACAGACGAAGCACGAATAAACTGTACATTCTACTTCAAAACTCGAGGTCAAATTCCATCATAACACCTATCATACACAAAGGTATTAAAAAGACTGTTATAAAAAAAAAAAAAAAATATTGCTTAGATGGGTACACGAGCTCACAGCCCACCTGGTGTTAAGTAGTTACTGGAGCCCATAGACATCTACAACGTAAATGCGCCACCCATCTTGAGATATAAGTCGTAAGGTCTCAGTATAGTTACAACGACTGCCCCGCCCTTCAAACCGAAACGCATTACCGCTTCACGGCAGAAATAGGCAGGGTGGTGGTACCCACCCGCGCGGACTCATAAGAGGTTCTACCACCAGTAAAATATATATAAAAATAGTCAGTTCCTTCTGCTTATGTAGATTATTTACCTTTCCGGCAGCAATGTGACCTTTGTTCGCTTCAACTATCGAGTTCAACTTCTTCAACATATCAGGGTATACGTTTTTCGAAAAGTCCTCGTGTTTTTTTGCTTTTAACTCCTCATCAGCTTCGTAGTATACAGCGGCCGCTTCTGTTAACAAAATCATTTATTTCGAAAAATTGACTAATTTTTTTTGCGGTATTCACTATGAATGTACTGGCAAATATAAAAGTAATTATACCTACTATATTTTCATCGGTATTCGAGAGTCGCAGACAAAATCAAAATTACTTTTAAGGTTTATTCTCGTGTTTACTATTTTCGATTTATTATTTCAGACGTTTCAAACGTATAAATCTTTTACTAAAATACTTTACAGTTTAAGAAATCGCGAACATTTCTGTCGGTCGATTGATTTTTAACACGCGATGTCATTCTTCCATCATGAAAGTCATTCGTAAGCTTGAGTTAAGTACGTATTTCTTTTAGAAAAAATTGTTGCCTGCAGGATTCGCACAGTCGCAACATCTTATGGCCTGTATCGCTCGATACAAAGACACCGGCGACTTACAAATCGTATATATTCAGAAACTCACTGGCGCGAATATCGTGCAGGAACTCCACGTTCTGGTCGATCTCGAAGGCCTCCTCGTCATTTGCCCCGGCAAGTCCGTACTTGCGACCGAGGTACCTGCAGATGGCGGTGCTTTGAGCGTACTGCTTGCCGTCGATCACCAATACTGGCATCTGACCGAACGGGGTCTCTAAAAGAGAAATAAGTTTCAATTTTAATTGGCAACAAAAGAGGTTGCCAAACTTTTTTTGTAATTTATTACATCTGTGCACTGTTAAAATGGGCGCCAAATTTGAAAAAAGAAGTGTCAAGTTAATACTCTGCACGTTTCAGAATATTAAAATAGTTTTATTCGCATTAGTTCTCAACTACACGATTGTAAAAACTTCCAAGCTGACCTCTTATGACTTCTAATATTACCAAAAGATTTACCAACCACGGCTGCTTTACCAATCTGGAAATTCTGTACATTACCGACACCCGTAATATAAGAAAACAATTATACCTTAAGCCTTAAGGCAATTGATAACTTAACGATAATTTATACTAACAACCTTTAATAATAGTGAAATCGTTGAAATAGGAAAATGTTACTGGAAGTACCTTATAAAAACTAGATATTAAATTGATTGCTTCAAGTTGTTTATTTCCCATGGGAAATCAAACACTAGGCTGTGCGGTAATTCTCTGTTCAATTATTCATGGCTTATGAAGAATCTACTAACGAAAATACACTTGATATCTACATAGCCACAGACTTAAAATCAATATTTAATACCATAAGTAAGGTTAAATGTATTGGACAGAATTGAATATTAAAATCTTTTAAATACCTAAATCGCAAAATAAACTTGAATTGCAACAGCTAAAGTCCGAAATAGATAACGAAAAAATTGTATTCGGTAACTGTAGGTACTTCATCATTCTTATTGACATCAAATAATAAGTTTATCTTACATTTTTGACATGGACAAAAGATAATTACGTAATATTGATATGATAATACCTATATTACGACAATTAGAGCAAATTAACGCTAATTTGTGAAAGGTCAAATGCGATAACATTCTTGTGTCAAACTCCATAAGTTTTTTTGGATATTTTTTTATCTAAAATACATACAATTTGACTTGGGTGGAAAATATTTTTTTTTAATTTTGTTTCTTTGCTTCGATCGGTGGGCAAACTCATGATGGCCCACCTGGTGTTAAGTGGTTACCGGAGCCGGTAGACATCGAGCACATAAATGCCTCCACCCACATTCAGATACCGCGACTGTCTCACCCGTCAAACTGGAACCTTGCGGGACGACTCACACGATATTATTTCTTCAATGTGGGCGCCATTTTGAAAGATTTGTTAAGTACGTATTTCTTTAGGAAAAATCGCTGGATTCAAACATCGGCACGTTCGTATCGCTCACGAGTGCTCACCAGGCGTATTTTCCTTTAGGCCATGACGATTTCAAGCTGTGCTGTAATATTTTCTCTGATTTTCGCAACTCGCAAACGTATTAAAAAGATTTTTTTTACGATTTAACATCACGTTTTTATTGTCATTACATACCAAAGTATCTAATATAGCAGTTACAGTTTTTCGTGGCGTCGAATGTAATGAAAATAAATGCTTTATTTTTATTTTTGTTTTCACGGCTTAAATCGTAAAAGCAGCTTTAATCTTGCTTCTGTATTATTCCCCGAGCGATGTTCGTACATTTCAAAGAACATAATTCGACGCTTGAAAGGCAAACGTAACTAAGCGACAATAACTGCTTTGTACATAAATGATAGGTAATAACCATATTCGATGCGCAAAAAAATATATATATTTCTAGGTCTATTAAAATCATTTCAATCCTACTGCTAGATTCGTTAAAATTGATTTTTTTTCAGGTATTTCTACTTTAAATTAGTCTACTGTAAAGTTCACGCATTGTCGCTTAGTCACGTTTGCCTTTCAAGAGTCGATTATGATTCAGTTACAGGATTCCGTGATTTATTTTGACGAATTCCGCTATTCCCATTGGAATTTATGAGAATTTTTGTACAGCGAACTTTTAGTCTTAGCCGTAAAAAAAAACATTTACTTGGCTTGAAGTCAGGCCAGTCAGCAGAGAGCACGCGGTGGTCTTCGAAGTCCTGGCCTCCGTAGGCAAGCAGCATACGGCCGCTCTCCCCGAGAGCCTTGCAAGCGAAGTAATGGTACACAACCTTAGGCATTTTCTAGAACAAAGGTATATCGTCATCAGAAACATTATTTGTTAATTTTTTATTATATTATTATGTGCCTAACTTAAATGTTTAAAAAGCAATGAGGCGTTACTATCATATACCCTTATGAGTAGATTGGTTGGTGTAATAAATGTTTCTTAAACTGATAATAGTATACGCACAGACAGAAATCTGACATGAAATATTATTTTAAGCCATTTCTTTAGATTATAACCTACACTACACTAGATTGATTCATTTTAATTAGCCTTGATTACAAGAGTTACAGGAAAATATAAAAAAAAAATGGTTTCTGTAAATGCTGGTCCACAGAGACGTTTAAAAAAGATATTCCCATGATGCGTGTGCATTAGGGAAGCGCACGTGACTGCCTCGACACTGACATATAAATAGTCCATGTAGAGGTATATGACAAAGAGAAGGTCTTTCACCGAGTGGATGTAATTTCTCGGTAGACCGACAGTCCGAATGTCTTTCATACATAGGCTGGTAATCTACGAGGTTATGCCAGCGTAACCGGACGATTAGGTGAGCTCACGGGGCTCTAAGCTGAGGTTTTTTTTTTAGCAAGTGCTTCGCGGAATCCCCTACCGGATCGGAAACGCGACCCACTGAGAAGATCCGGCGAGAAACTCAGTGGGTTCAGTGTGCTTACTACGAGATTTTTAACTTCTCGATCGCGTAAAAGTTAACTCAAATTTGTATGGAGTTGGAACATACTTGGACACTGTTCTGGAGTTAAAAAGCTCGCACTGAGCACACTGATCGGTGATACGCTGCTTCCCTTGCCATTGCGGAGGTTCGCGAGTGACGCTGACCACTGACCATAATGTCGGCTGTATTAACCGCATATACTTCCAAAAAAGGCGGGATTTCTCAACGTAAATTCAAAAGGTTACAAAACGAAATCTTGCGTTCGCATCGATAACCGATGACGTAATACAACAATGTTTTTAGTTACTAAACTATCTCTATACGTATTAAGGAATACTTGTTATTACGTGTAAAGATTATATTGTAAATTTATTAAACAAGACAAATATCAGAGAATGTTTCTGATGCATACATTCATTAGACTTATTAACGTAATATGCTGTAATTATTTTATAGTTTAATTTGATAACTGAAAGAAGAGGAGTGGTACGCAAATAAATTAACATTTATTGAAACAGTAAAAATATTTTTTCGATTTTAAAATCAGCGTATATTTTCCGGACAATATATGCTGCTTTATACATTTAAGATATCAGCATATATTTCTGGCATTTCTGATGTCCATGAGTGACGGTAACCACTTACCTACAGGTGGGCCGTATGCCGGTCTGCCTGATCGGCCAATAAAAAAAAAGATCAGCTTTTACAGCTCGTTATAATCGATTACCCGATGAAAACGGACATTACTGTCTGCCCTGAAGTATTATTTTAAAGTTTTTGTTGAATTAAATCAATAGATATCGCGTCTCTAAAATAACACGTGTCTAGAAACTAGAAAATAAATTTTAATAAATTTGTATTAAAAATAGTGTAAGAAAAGATGATTTTATTGTAAAAAAGCGTGGAGTGCTTTTCAGGATATTATCAAAATAACCCTTATTTCTACTCATATCTGGTCATGAAATATTTATAACTACTGATACCATGCATTTTGTTAGTTTTTTTTATTTTTAATTTTTTAGTTGAATTTTTTCAATATTTTTTTTAAATATTGTATTGTCATCGGTTCATAATAAGTATACCAAATTTCGAGTTAATCCGACTTTTTTAAGTGGGTCAAAATCATGCTCAAAGACTCCGTTACATACTAACATACATACGTCTGAAGCTAATAAAAGCGTATTAAAAAGAAGTGAAATGGAAGTTAATGAGAATTGAAGAGAATTTAATTAGAGAATTTAATTTAAACATCTCACCAATTTATAGTGGTAAGTCGCCGGGCACTCGGTTCTATTGCTGAAGCAAAACTGAACACTCTGAACGCTTTATCGAATCAAGGTTAGAAATACAACAAGAACATTAAAAAAAAAAACAGATATTGAAGAATCTACTATCATCTTACTTACTTGTGAAACATTTGAGTGTTCTGTATAATTTTTCAAGGAATTGGTATTTAATATTTTTAGTGAGTTAAAGCCGGGATAACCCGAACTTCTTTGGAACTTCGACCAGTTTTTTTATTTATTTTTTTATTGCATAGACGGGTGGGTGGACGAGCTCACAGCCCACCTGGTGTTAAGTGATGACTAGAACCCATAGATATCTACAACGTAAATGCCGCCCACCCACCTTGAGATATGAGTTCTAAGGTCTCAAGTATTACAACGGCTGCCCCACTCTTCAAACCGAAACGCAGCAGAGATAGGCAGGGTGGTGTTTCTTACCCCGGGCGGACTCACAAGAGGTCCTACCATCAGTAATTATGCAAAATATAATTTTGCGGGTTTGATTTTTATTACACGATGTTATTCCTTCACTGTAGAAGTCAATCGTGAATATTTGTTAAGTACGTATTTCATTAGAAACAATTGGTACCCGCCTGCGGGATTCGAACGCCGGTGCATCGCTCAACACTAATGCACCGGACGTCTTATCGTTTAGGCCACGACGACTCAATAAATTTGGTATTAGTGTCGTTATGCTTACAGACCCTAATTGGGCTGACAGTCGCAACCGCCCTACGAGAAGCTGAGGACCGGACGAGGTGAAAACAGCTCACGAGACACGCCGCGGTCAAGTTTCAAGGACACGACCTTCAGTAATGAAGAAAGCGAAGAAGAATGCTTACAGACTTTACCTATTGAACCTACGAAGCCTTCTTTTTATTGGGTCTGTAAAGAACAAAGGATTCCAATTCACAAAGCAAAATATTTTTGATCATCGCAGTAGTTATTATCTACTGTGGGCTGTGAGTAGATATGCCGCAACGAAGATATATATATTATTATTATTTTCTAGAAACATGGTCGTTTCTACCCAGCTCCGAATCTATCTCATAGTTATGCACTTAATGAAACTTAACTGAATTACTAGGCTCCATTTATTTTGAGCACTCATTGAAAGATAGACGAGATCTCAATATAATATTCTAGAATTTTAGTAACGACTACTTTATGATGGAAATTGAACCCTCATGACATCGAACAATAAGGCCCGTTACCACTGTGCCGATTCGATTGTTTCGCTACTTCAGCAATACCGAATATGCTAATGACAAATCAATTTTTTTTCACGCTCTTTAAGTTAATAGAGGTATCGAGTAGTCGAGAGTAGTCGAGCCTAGTTTACAGTGCTCTATAATGTTAATCTCATCCGCGCAATCTGATTGTTTTGTGCCGGTAAAAAAAAGATGCGCCGCCGCGCCGTGGCAACGTGAATATTTTGACGCATAGACGCCGGCAAACTTATCTCCAATACAATTACTCAAATTCTAGAAAATTTAGCTCACTTTTCCAACTGAAAATATGTTGATATGTAATTGGCTCGATTTGAGATGGATTAAAACTTGGTAGACTAGTTTGTTCTAGACAGTTTCTATTCTGTAATTGTGAAGACAGTGTCTGGGTAATTGTTGGTAGAAAAACAGCCAGTTCATTATAGTGAGAACGGGACTTAAAACGAGATAAAACAACAACGTCTCACACATATTGTTCATATTATATCAATTGACCTCGAATATTTTAAAAGGGCAACTAATAATGCAATTTATTTTATATGAATTTCTTCTATCAAATAATTGAAGACAATGGAAAATATTTCACATTTTAATTGTGTCATAACTTAATAATCAAACATTTAATACATCACGGCTCAAATTGAACAGTGTACAGGCCCATCACGCGGGTTGTTATCATTAAAATACAGTTTTGGTAACGGACAGTAGATGGGAGTTATAGAATAGGCAGCTGGTTTTATAGACATGCCTAAAATATTATACTCTAAGTGTGCTTATTTTCAGTACATTCTGCAATTTTGTGTGTATTTTCTACAATTTTCACGAATTTTGTACAATATTAAAACTGGTTTTGAGCACATTATGACTAAATATCAAGAGATTTTTCTGTTTCCTATCATTTCAAATCTTAGTTTGATGTTAAAACTTATGTATTATATAAAATTATGTATTATATATATTATATAAAAATGTGGCTGTATGGGCTAGATTCTTTTAGTTGACAAGACGAACAAAAATTTAATTTTGAAAATATGTAGAGGAATCAAAACATTAAATTTACTCGAAAGAAAGCCGCAAGTTAAAACATAAAATGAGTAGGCAATCACAAACAGAATCCACAAGACTATTCGATAACTCTGTAAGACAATGTGTAAGGTATGTGTTTTGTCGCGAAGCTGATAAAATACCCATAAAACGATCTGAGATATTGGAGCAAATTGCGCCCGAATATAGGAAAAAATCGAAAAATGTTTTAGTTGAAGTTGAAAAAGAATTAAAACGGGTGAGTTAAGAGTACCTACTTATTTTAAAATATGGATATATTTATTTATTTATTTATAACTTCTTATACTAGAAAGTATAAAGGCGGACTTAATGGCATAGGCATATATGTCTGGTGTCTTTAATTTGAACATAAATAAATTTTTTAATTAATCTGGTAACTATATACATTTGAAAAGTACTTTTTTATTATTACCATTGGGAATGAGGATTCTAAATAAATATTAACACACTTGGGCACGAATTTGGGCATTTGTAAATTTACTTAATATCACTTTCATAATACCAACTTTAGAAAAACTGATGACAAATATTGATTTGAGAGGGAAACATAATGAAGCTAAGCCCCAAGTGAATTTCAAACAAAATCGAGGTCTGATATGGCCCCTTTTTGATTGCTTAGTTAGGGGGACGAGCTTATGGCCTGTCTGGTGTTAAGTGGTTACCTATGCAGACATCAGCAACGTAAATGCCACCACCCACCATGAAACATGAGTTCTAAGTCTCAGTTTTATACTATAACAACTGACCCATTCTTTAAACCGAAGTGCATTACTGCTTCATGTTAGGAATTGGCAGAGTGGTGTTACCCATCCGAGTGGACTCACAAGACACCCTACCAGTGAGTAGACCACTTCCTTCCCTTCAAATATTCATAACAGTGTGTGCTATCTTCAGGTGTACGGATATAAACTTGTAGAAATAAAAGATAAAGATAAAATCCTATACATTGTTGTGCTGGATGAAGCATGTGACTCTCCACCTTCGAGAACAACAGACCTACTACAGAAGAGGATATTGTCGGGGGCTCTTACACATATCTTCATGTCAGGAAGACCAGTCAAAGAAGGTAAGGTGCACTGTGCCTGAATTCTTAGAACCTTAAATTTTTTTGAGGGGGTAATTAATATTTTATTGAATTTCCTATTAACAATTGCGTTGTTACAAAATTAAATACATTGTTACAAACAAGTTAAATACTTTGTATAAATTTTAAATGGTTACTTCGAACTAACTTATTATACAAATGCAATTTCTCACTGTTCTCTGTACCGAACACAGATTTTATAATAATCTAAATATTGCATATTACAAATTTTATTTTGACTTATTACAGATGATATGTGGAGTTTCCTAGATAAATCTGGTTTACTCGCAGAAGATAACATTTCTGGAAGAAAATTACTAACGCAGCAATTTACAAAACAGTTGTACCTTTCATATTCAAAGGTATGACTAATATTAATTATGTGAGAGTAATTTGTACAAGATTCATATTGTGTTCATGGGCATTGATAGTTGCTTAAAACCTTTTTTTCTATTTATACTATTAAAAAGCTTAATTTCAGATGGGGGAAGGTGAACTAGCTAGGTACGCATTTGACTGGGGTCCAAGAGCTAATCATGAATTGCCCAAGAAGTTCATACTGCAAAAAGTTGCAGTAGCATTTGGTACAGATCCAGCATGTTGGTCGGAACAATACAAAAGAACACTGGAATAAATCAAGATCTACTTGTACCTTGAATATAAAAGTAATTTTTCAATAAAGTAGATGTGAAATGAGTTGATCCATGATGATAACAATATTTCCTCATTTTAATATTAAATACGGTACAGTATAAAATACAGTACTACAGAAAATATAAAAAAACGATTTGTTCATCATTAACAATAATAATGGATTGTATTATATTAAAATATTAGTGAAACCTGGACACACTATTAACTGTATGAAAATGAGATCAAAATAATGCAAAGTTAATTGGAGTTTACCTCTTAGGAGATTCAGTTGTTGCCTACAATTGTCCAATATCTTTAAAATCTAAATATTCACTACTCTAGGACTAAAAAAATTTATAATCACTATTTTCTAAGTTTTTTTTGTTTTCATTGGAATAAAGTAAAACAACTTTATTTGTTAATTTCTTTGTTAAGTTTATCATTTTTGTCTGAATTCTGAAGACATTAGTTTTGAATTTTTCCACTCAATGAAAGTGTTGCATAATTTTCTATCACGGTTACCGTACCATTTGCAGTGGACTCAATCGATCTGCAACGAATAGGTGTGTACAGTAATCCGGTCAGCAGACAGCGGTTTAGCTGTGCCCATGTCCACGAGGCGAGACCAGGCCGTGTGATCGTCAACCCACCACAGCTAAAAAAAAAATGTGGTGTCGTGGGACACCAGGTAGGAACGAAGTTCGGCTAATGTAGAATCGACACAATTTGCAAAAAAAAAATCATGCTCAATTTTATGTTGGTTTTCTTGATTTTTCTCTTAAATTTTGCTGATTAGTTTTTATTTAAGTACAGGAAAGTATTTAGGAAATTCAGTATTTTAGGAAATAATAAATTACGTAAAATAAAAATAAAATCGTAATTCAAATCATCAATTAAAATAACAAAATATGTCTCTTTATTTTTGTTTGACAACATAAAATTACATAGAAATAGAAATAATTACAAAATAGAGAGAGAAGGGATGAGAGAACGAAAAGAAAGAGGGAGAAAGAGAAAGGTATTATACACTACTCGCTTGTGTATACGACTGTCGCGCCTGCGCACGTCTCATTTAACGGTTTTATTCCACGCACTTTTTTCCACGGATTTTTTCTTACGGTTTTACTATCACATTTTTTTCAGTTCGGTCGCGCAGCAAAATCCCTATCCCCTCCAAGCCTGCAGTAAGGAACTTCGTTCCAAAAAATGTCCATCAAATCAGATTAATATTACCTACTAACAATGACAGAAAATTTAAGAATTTTTAATGTTTTATGTTTTTTAATGTACACATTTTTAAATTATTTCAAAATACCTAAGAAACTACGGTTCAATTGTAGTGTTACAAAGTTAAAATGTGCCATGATCCATTTGCTTTACGCCAGAACTTAAAGTAACATCACACATTGAAATGTCAAAACGTCAAAAACTTCAAACTAATCTTAGAAGCTGAATAAAGCAGCTGTTTTTCTCTACCGTAAAATTCGAGTTTGAATTTGTTAGAGAAACATAACATAAAAGTTTATATTGCCTTAATTGAATTGGAGTAGTGCTTATTCGAGAATATAAATAATGGCTCAATCATCCGCCGCGCCGCCGAAAGAGCGTTATATACCAAATGGATTGAAGTTCGCGTTTGGTGGCCTTGCAGGGTAAATTTTTTGAATTTATTTTAAGATATACGTTGTCCTTTACCGTGAACCAATGTCATTAACAATCGATTATGTTGTGTATTACATACACTTTTATTTCCGAAATTTAGTACACCATATACATTTAAATAAATAGACACGCTCTTAAATTTGTCGTGGTGTTGTTAATTGATACTAAATGATGTTCAAATAGGATCAGCGTTTGCTCAAGTTATCTGCAGAATACGTGCGTGTTCTAGTTTTATTGTGGAGTCACTTATTATGTAATAGAACAACTATGAAACAAACGAAAACCTCGAGAATTGTTTGTAATAGCTATTATTTCATTGAATAAATATATAATGAGCTACAATAATCTCAACAGTTGAATTAAGGTTGTGGCTAATGAAATATATTTAAACATTATTAATCCTTATAATTAAAAAAACCCTACAAAAGTCTGAAATGATTTCAGCTTAAAAGCCAACACTTTTGACTTCAAGATATTGACATGTAATGATTTCCCCAAATGATTAACATTAAGTAATCTTTAGACTGAATTTTTAACCTAAGTTACTTTTAGATTTTAAAATGTTCTAAGTATAATTTGTTAGATAACATTTTAAAATAATAAAAAAGGCTTATTCTTTGATTTGATATGTGATGTCTTTATGGTTTAATATTTTTAGGTGTTATCTGTAATTGTTTTAGTCTATAATCATGTAAAGATCAGGTGAATAAAAATATTTTCTGTCTTAGTAAAATGCTCAATATACAAAATTTTCATATAAGTTTTGCAACTTACTTTAAAAACTACAAATAATATTAATTTGGTCCATGTATGTACTTAAATCATTGTGGAATAATTCGTTTTTTTATCAATCTATCAATGTGTTTTTATTTGTAAAATGGTATTCTTAAACTCTTTTTGTCATAAAAAAAAACTTAGATTTTCTATAGAAACAGAGTTTACACTGTATTAACATAGCCACTATCATGTTTTGTAACTTCATTATACAATTGTATTATAATCCAGGAAAATCTGAAAATTATGTCATAAACTTTATTTAAAAATTCTGGTTTTCATTCCAAATATTTATTAACTAAATCAATAGTGCAAACTAATCAAGATGAAAAACTTTCTAGATTATAATACCATTTTTAGAAGTTAGTAGTGATTGTGTACACTTCTATATTTCTATAAAAAAACAGATTTTTTCTTAAATAGAGTAACATATTTTACAAGTAACTCAGCAGCACAACAGTGAAGTAAACATACATATTGAGACAAGTACAAAAACAGATTGTTGTGCCATTTAAAAAAAACAGCCCAACAAAGAAACTTTTTACTGGTGGTAGAACCTCTTGTCAGTCCGCGCGGGTGGGTACCACCACCCTGCCTACGTATTTCTATGCGTTTCGGTTTGAAGGGTGGGGCAGCCATTGTAACTATACCTGAGACCTTAGAGCTTATATGTCAAGGTGGGTGGCGCATTTACGTTGTGGATGTCTATGGGCTCCAGTAACCACTTAACACCAACGCCTTTTCGTGTTTTCATATATAGATGATGAAAGATGTTACTACTAGAGGTTAAAATTTTGCAGGTAGAACTTTCTAAGAGAATACTTGTCAGACACATGTTCCCAAGTAATTTCTATGATTAAACAACTTTATCTAATAAAAATACAAACTACAAAATTCATAAATTCTACAACCTAATCATTTTTCACATGACATTTTTGGATGAAAACATGTACTTATTACTTCATAATAATCCCAATTTCTGTCACATTACCGTTTATCTCGATTAATGATCGTGTTAAAAGCGTGATACAAGTTTTACGACATCTTATCATTCTGACACACTTCATTCATATCAGCTTGCAGCCATTTGCACTATAAAAATAATATATTGACAGTTTCCACACCAATACCACGATCACCATGAGGTAATGGATCATCTGAAATAGTCTTAAAAATGTCAGTCCTTGGTCAGTTAAGTCTATATGTACTCTACACCGACCTGACGTATTACTGACCTGACTGTATTTGGTTTAATAAAGCATAAATCAAGTCTCTTTGGGTACTGCTTCTACTTGATATCAGATATTTGATTCCACGAATCATTATAATACTTGAGACTGGGTCTGTGTATGTGGATATTACTTTTGTCTATCATCAGTTTACACCGACCATATCAATTTTACCATTCTTACCTCCAGTATTGTGCGTTTTCAAGTGCTTTTACTGATAGACAGTCACGTGGATATGCCCCTGACATATAAAATTGTTATACAGTGTTTTATTCGGCATTGACCTCGTCGCGTGACGCAGCACTTTCCTTTCATTCCACGATCTTGATAGTATTAGAGACGTCACATAGTCGGAATGACGTAAATGCGTAATTTATGATCAGCGGTGTGAGTGAATCTTCAAATAAACTTATCGGGATGCTGAAAAATCGATTAAATTAAATAATCGATTTTAAATTAAATTGATGTTCAACAATCGATGTTTTCATTAATTTTGGTGCGTACGCCCCCGCCATCCTCCTCCCGCTGAAAGCGGTAAGACGAGTCACTGGGAAGATAATATAATATGTAAATTGTCTTAAGAGAGACCCCTCAAATTGGGGGACACCTGCGCGAAAATCAAAGAAGTCTTCTGAAGGGCATAAACTCGTCTATCTGACTAAGCAAATAAAATTGTCGCCTTTTTGTATTGGGTGAGCAGCTTACGGCCATCGCGACTGTATGTGGTTATCGGAACCCTTCGACGTTACTACGTGAATGCTGCCACCCACCTTGAGACATGACAGACATCATCTACAGTCTCAATTGTATAGTGTAAGGGCTGCCCCATGAAACTAAAGTGCATTACTGCTTTGAGAGAGAAATAGACTGTTTTGGTTACCACCAGTTACTTCATTGCATATGGTGCTGAACAATCACTTAGCGAAAAACAATTTGAATAATGGAATTGTCTAGATAACGCGTTTGCCTTGAACTAGCCGATGACCTGAACCGGCAACCTCAAGAGTTTTATTATTATAGATAACGTTAAAATTTACGTTTTCGAATTTGATAATGTAGGTGTATTATACAAAGATTAGTAACTCTGAAATTTTTGTCAATGGTGACATTATAAAAATTTACTTTAATTAACAACTCATACTTGTTCTTCTTCATTCGTACTAGACAAGGACTAATAGACAAAATCTCTTAATAAATAAATATAAGTAAATGAGCAAGCAAAACCGAAGACGAAGGCTAATGTGCTGATACAAAAACAAATCGGTAGCATAAGCAGTACGATTGAAATAGATAAACAAGAATAGCTCACTGTCACCTGACTTTTAAAATAGACAATACTGATAGTGCCAAAGGAATTTACATACCTATATTTTTGAAGTGAGACACTTTGTAAATATTGAATTGTTTGAAAAACGTTGTTTGGTTAATGATAATGGATGCAACCCAAAAAAGTCGTGATGACGGTCGTAATAATCGATAAGAAGCTGAATAAATAATAAGTTCAATTTAAAGCTTTGCATTCTAAATTGCGTCTGGCCTTAATCTCCACTGAACACTATATCGAAAACTCGCGAAATTGTCTAGAACAAGCTACAGATTATCAATTGATATCACGATTGTACTGCATTCAATCTAATATATAATTGGAATTGGTACAAAAGTGAAAATCTCATCAAGCTTAATATGAGAGAGGTTTCTTAGGCATTAAAAACAAAAAAAAATATCACTTTTGGCCTCGCCTGTACAATGAATCCGCGAAGTAAATATGTGTAGACGAATATTTTCTTTTTAACAGTACCTACTCATGTTTATTTTTGTGGATTAGCCAAATTCCACAGATCAAAGAAGAACATAATAATATCGAAGAGCAAAATGCTATTTGAATTAAACCAAATTTCGCTAGATATGCGACATTTATCTTTGTAATTAAATGTGCGTTTTATTTGACATTAAATCAATTTATGTTTACTCCATTCGAATAGTTGAAGAAGTATTTTTTGTTATGATATTTTTTTCCAAAATTTCAACTTTAAATGGCTCTCTTATAAAGTTGCAAGAATGTCGCCTAAACGAAACAGCCTTTCACCTGTGGCGGGTATTCATATTCCCAAGCACCAATCGATATCAAAGCCAATACCAATCTTAATCCAATGCCGAATAGTTACCGCACGGCACGACAAGGGCAACGAGTGAAACAAAACCGAAACTAGATATATTTTGCCGATCAACGATGCTGCATTCCTTGGGGAACAGATATTCATAAATCTATTCAATAAATACAATACTGCTATGCCCTCAAGCGCTGCAGTTGAACTTTTTTCCACGGGTAAAGAACAGTACCATTTACATAAATATTAACATTTTAACACCAACACGAGCCTCGCTTTCAGACGAGAACCTCAACATGTTAATGTTCATGAAAGGGAATATGCACCTTAGGCCCGACGATTATAATAATTACTCATTTGAATTATACAAGTATTTTGTTTTGTTCCTGACCGGTTAACTTCCAGAAACGAAACCAACAAGTTCTATAAGTTCACTGACGCAACGATATAAAGATGCAATTTTACACATATTAACGGATTAACGATTAACGTTAACTTGCGTTAATTCTTCCGAAATATAACGCTTTATCGTTTAATGAAGCTAACCTTTTTGTATCGGATTAACGATTAACGAAGTTAACTATTTGATTAACGGTGCCCGGCTATGCTTATAACGAAGGTGTTATTGTATTTTTTAGAATGGCGGCGACGTGCGTTGTCCAGCCTTTAGATTTGATCAAGACAAGAATGCAATTGAGCGGCAGCGGGAAGAGCTCCTTCACTGTGGCCGGGGAAATCGTTGCGAAGGAAGGCTTCTTCTCATTGTACGCTGGGCTGTCAGCTGGCTTACTGAGACAAGCAACGTACACGACCACGCGGCTCGGAGTCTATAGCTGGCTCTTCGACGCTTACAGAGAGTAAGTATCGTTTGAATGTAGATCGGTGGTAGATTCTGCGTAGGTTGATAGCACTGCTCTTGCTAGGGTTAGTGTTAGCAACGTCGTCAGGTTTGAGCCCCGTGAACTCACCTACTAGGTAAAAAAAAAGCAGATATTTCAATAAACACTTAATGAGGTTCGAAATAATAAATTTCTAGCTCACTTCTCAAAGTTTAATACGGTCCAATTATTTAACATTTTAAATTGTTTCTGATCTTATGTAAAATCGATTCTTGAAACTTCCTTCTGAATCTACTCATAACGCTACTAGATTGAATCCAAAAAATGTTAGTAAACTGTTAGAGAGAGAGAGAGAGAATACACTTTATTGCACACCAAAACACAATTTACATTCAAAAAACAGATACATTTGTACAATAGGCGGTTTTATCGCTAAAAGCGATCTCTTCCAGACAACCGTTTAATTTACAGAAATTCTGGAAAATATAAAAATATAGCAGGTATGTTGCGGTGTACCATAGACAATACATTATTATAGAAAATATATACATACAATAAACAGATAATACCGTTTACATATAATATATAAAAATATACATATTTACATACAATACCTACCTACTAATATACTTACACACACATAAAAAATCAACAGTATGGAAATGATAAATGATAATGATGACTGTTAATTATGGAAAATACTTTTATTTAGAAAATTACATAATAACCTATCAAATTATCTACTAAGGTTATTCAGAAGGTGAGTTCTTGCTCTCCTCCGTCTAGTCATACTGCGTTCCAAAAAAAAAAAAAACGTTACATAACAGGCCATAAGAGATAAAAATACAGGCAATCAATCGACGTGAATGCAAGTTCCAATATTGAACTCGGTTTTAATCTCTACTGTCGTTAACCTATCGGGTTTCAACTTCCTCTGCGTATTCAAGCATCGGATTATAATGTAATAAGACCGAGATTCATTGGAACTGAGACGTTATTGAGTTTGAACTAAGGTGTCAATTTGGGCGCGGAAGGCCCATTCTCGGCGGTCCGTGCTCGAGTCGTGGTCGAGGCGATTGGCCAACCCCACGTGGGGGCTACGGACCGTCGAGGCGGTTTACCCGGTCTTTGATGACTGGGTGAATCGTGGCGAAGGACGTCTCACCTTTCGTCTGGTGCAGGTGCTGACCGGGCACGGATGCTTCGGGAAGTACCTGCGCCGGATAGGGGCTGAGCCGACGACGAGGTGTCACCATTGTGGACACGACCTGGACACGGCGGAGCATACGCTCGCTGTCTGCCCCGCTTGGGAGGTGCAGCGCCGTGTCCTGGTCGCAAAGATAGGACCTGACTTGTCGCTGCCTGGCGTCGTGGCGTCGATGCTTGGCGGTGATGAGACATGGAAGGCTATGCTCGACTTTTGCGAGTGCACCATCTCGCAGAAGGAGGCGGCGGGGCGAGTGAGGCAAAGCTCTCCTCACTACGCAGAAACCCGCCACCGCCGAGCAGGGGGTCGGGACCGGAGTCGTATCCGTGAACTGGCCCCCTAAGAGCTAGGGGTCCCACCCGTTTTGTGCGGGGAGAGACCCAGACGTGGGGTGGCGTGCTGTGCACGCTCACCCGCAGTAGGAAGCCGGGTGATGGTAGACCGCGTTCCCCCGACCGCTCTGGGGGAAGGTGTAACGCGGCGCCATCAAAGCGGGCTCTCGGCCCGCTGAACGAGGGAACCGGTGGTCGTGTCGCTGGCGACCGCCGGTCCGGCGTCCGTGGGACGGTGGGATGGATGTAATGTGCTCTGCGTCAACCCTGTCCCGCCGTTTCAATAGCCCTGACTGGGCTCCGGCCCGGTCCGAGGTAGGGCGCCGGTTGTGAGCGGCAGGAGTTTTTAGTGAGGTTCAACTCCCACATACCCCACCTGCCGCGCGGGTGGGGATCCGGCGATTTTCTCCTGTGGAAAAAAAAAAAAAAGGTGTCAATTTGAGCGGCGTTGCTAACATTGTGATTACGAACTCCTCTGTCCATCTACACTAATATAACCCCACTGATTTTCTCGTCGAATCTCCTCAGTGGGTCGCAATTCCGATCCGGTTGTAGATTCTGCGAAGCACTGCTCTTGCCAGGGCCAGTGTTAGCAAATCCTCCTCGGTTGAGCCCGTAAGTTCACCTACCAGCCTGCGCGTAGCTGGAATAGCAATCAACAAAAACACTAAAAAGTCATGAAAAAGTCGACAGTTAACGGTTTATGACGTCATCAGCTTTCAAGCGAGAACGTGCGAAAGAGATAGAGAACCTAGCTATTGCAACCGTTTTTTCATAAAAATATAACATAGTGTTTCATGCGAAAAAAACATTATGTTATTTTATTACTTAATTTCTAAAAGTATCAACAGAAGGCAAAACAGAAAACAAACTTATTTTGAATTTATAAAAAAATTTGTTAATTATTGTATGTTCTTACGGCATTAGTATTAATCAGATTTCAGTTATTATTCGTATTTCCAAAAAACACGTTCAGACCAACGAATCAATTAAAAACCATAATACACTAGATGATGACTAGATGATGATATTTTTTTTTTTTTTGTTAACGCCATCTTGTTGTGTCTTTAAAGCGGTTAGTTGCCCTCAATTAAGAAAAATAGTATTATTATTCGCCGATAGATGTCGGGAAGAGTTGATTATTGAAAACACGCACAAAACAACATTTTCTGAAAAGAAATCGTAGCTAGATCGATTTATCGACCCCGAAATCCCCTGTATACTAAATTTTATGAAAATCGTTGGAGTCGTTTCCGAGATTCAGATTATATATATATACAATGCTCGTTTAAAGGTATAAGATATAACGAAAACATTACACTTTTCGATTTTACTAATATCGTGTATGAACTAACACTGTTTTAGAATTAAGATTATTTCGTTATGTTCCCGCAAAATTATAATTTACGTAATTATAAATGTTGGGACGTCTTGTGAGAGTTCGCACGGGTAGGTACCACCGTCCTGCCTGTTTCTGCCGTGATGTAGTAATGAGTTTCGGCTTGAAGGGCGGGGTAACTGTTTTGTTGTAAAAACAGTGACCTTAGAACTCATGTCTCAAGCTGGGTGGCGGTATTTACGTTGTATGTCTATGGGCTCTGGGAACCACTTGACACCAGACGGGCCGTGGACCCAATCAAGCCATTTTTTTTGTTTGTTTGTTATAAATGTCCTTTCCGCTATAGACGCAACGCTGGTGCCAACCCTGGCTTCGGCACGAAGACCATGCTGGGCGTGGCCGCCGGGTCCATTGGCGCGTTCGTCGGCACTCCGGCTGAAGTGGCCCTCATACGGATGACGGCTGACGGACGCCTGCCCCAGGAGCAGAGGAGGAATTACAAGAACGTTGCTGACGCGCTGATCAGGTGGGTTCGATTGTAGATTCATTCAATGAACATTAAATCCTAAATGACATTTCGTCTTCTCGCATTAAAACCAAACTAGTGGCCCCGCAGTATTCGAAATTCGACTATAATTAATTGAAATTTTACATAACTTTTAACATTATTAAGGTTCTATTGTCAAAGACTATCATACTTCTATAATCACAGATTTCGCCAAGACTACAATATAGACAAATATTAATAAAGATAAATATAAAGATAAGATAAAGATAAAATTCAATAAAAAAAACACACACACACACACACATAAATACCCTTTATTTACTGTCAAACTTTTGTCATTGCATGAAAGTCTGTGGTCAAAACGAGAATAGATTAAATATTGTTTGTCTTTGTTAATATTTTTTAATAGTGTAGCCTTGGCGAAATTTGTGATTAAAGAAGTATAAAATACAATCATAATAGTGTACAAACTTACAATTCCAATTAATTATAGTCGAATTTCGACTACTGCGGGACCTCTAGTAGGTTTTAAACGCCCAAACCAAATAAAAGACATTCGTCCCTCGATGTGGGAATTGAATCGATGATCTTCGACATACCAGTATGGGGCCGTCTGCGTCATCAGTTTACAAAGTGCTCACGAACTACTTTCACGACGGATTAATAACATTATCATGCTGTGAAAATTTATCCTGAAATAATGATAATTAGCGCAACTACTGATCTAAGGACGTATTGTGACCCCTTTCGGGTAGGTAACAACGTCCTGCCTATTTTTACCAGGAAGTAGCCACACATTTCAATTTGTATGACCGTTGTATAACACTATCGAGAGTTTTTAGAGCTTTTAGGAATCGTCGTGGCCTAAAGGATAAGACGTCCGGTCGTATGTAGCGATGCACCGGTGTTCGAATCCCGCAGGCGGGTACCAATTTTTCTAATGAAATACGTATTTAACAAATGTTCACGAATAACATCGTGTAATAAAAATCAAACCCGCGTGTCCGCGCGGGTAGGTACCCCCGCGCTGTCTATTTCTGTCATGAAGCAATAATGAATTTCGGTTTGAAGGGTGAGGCAGTCGTAGCTATATTAAGACCTTAGAACTCATATCTCAAGGTAAGTGGCGCTATTTACGTTGTAGATGTCTATGGCGGCGTCATAGCTGAATGTCGCGCAATGAAATCCACAGGATAGTGCGCGAGGAGGGCGTGCTGAAGCTGTGGCGCGGCGCCACTCCCACGGTGGGGCGCGCCATGGTGGTGAACGCGGCGCAGCTGAGCACGTACTCGCAGGCGCGGGAGGCGCTCGCGGGCCGCGTGCCCGACGGCGTGGCGCTGCACTTCTGCGCGTCCATGGTGTCCGGGCTGGTCACGACCATCGCCTCGATGCCCGTCGACATCATTAAGACCAGGTATCTCCTTCGCCTTTCTCCACACTCATTTATTTAGCGGGTTTTTTTTCTCCTCCTATGCTGATAGCCTTGAGAGGCTATTTCAGCTTCACCTTAACGTGTGTAGGTGAGCTCACGGGGCTCAAACCAGAGTTTTGCTAACACTGACCCTAGCAAGAGCAGTGCTTCGCAGATTCTACCACCGAATTGGAAACGCGACCCACTTTTTTTTGCAGAATCCAAAACGCGGCAAAAGGTCAAAGTCAGCTGTCCGTAGTGACCTCCCTGCTGCGGAACGAGGGCGTCCTGTCGCTGTGGAAGGGCTTCCTGCCGTACTACGCGCGCCTCGGGCCCCACACCGTGCTCACCTTCATATTCCTGGAGCAAATGAACACGGCCTACTTCAAATACACGTAATGAGTTGCCCACTCTAAAACTTTTGGGGGAAAATGGAGGGAAATTTATTTACGAAATGGGGAAAACAAATTTTGATATATTTTTTGCGATAATTAAAAGGTATGTAAGAAAAAAAACACGATGGAATGATCTAGAATGAGTGATTACTTAAATAAGAGTCGCGTGAGATATAGAGCATAAGATGATTATTTATTGATTTAAGGGAAAAAATATATCGATATTTGTAGGCATTTATAGATCAGCTTTTAAAATATATTTATATACAAATTCAATTGATATAATGTCAAAGGAATCGGTCGTTTTTGTAGTGGCGCTAAAATACGGTAATTGAAATTACATACATTTTATTTTTTGTTATTTTTTTTCTATTTAAATATAAGCTTTGTTAAAATGGGTGCCGAATTCACTAGAAGGATTCGTTTAGAAACTGCAATATTAAAAGTTTTTCGTATAATCGACTTTATTTACACTGAACATGTTATATATAATTTTGTCTTTATTTAATATGAGAAGATGTATTTTTGTATGAAAAATCATTGTTATCAGCATTTAGATAATTGTCTAATTATGAGTGCTGCTGGAGATTCGATAAGGTGCTTGTTTGCATTGTAAACAACAAAAAAATATGCGCAAAACTCTAATGTTATATAAAATAATGATTGTATATAATGAAATCGATGAAAAATAACAGTATGAACTTACTCGAACGAACGAATATTATTATGTCGCTTTGTCTATAAACGCCATGTCTATGTTTTTTTTTCTCTGTACACATAATTACTATGTAAATTAGGAATATTCGAGAATTACAAACGAAATGCTTTTTCCTCATTTACCATTTATCAGAGAACACACGGAAATTACTTTTGAATAAATATTAATATCGGTCACAGGAAAATGGGAATAGGAAATAACGATTTTAAAACGTTCGTTTTTAGAGTGACTGTGAGCTGCAACACCGTCTCGCTCTCTCTCGTTCTTTTCGTGTCGTGACGAAAGAGATAGCAATATATGTAGTTTCAAATATTATCCATCGCATTTCTCTCGCAATTTCCATGGGGTATGAGTGATTCGACCATTGTCACTCAAGATTTAGGTTAATCGTATTTATTATCATACACTCTCTCTTCTCTATCGTTGTTGACATTGAAAAAAAAAGCTGTTTATTTATTGGTAACATTTGCCAGTAAATATAAAAAAATATATATTATATAGACAAAGGTGAAATTGTTCTAAACATTATTACTGTCAATACTAGATTTAAGAGGAAAACAGATTCCTAATGACATCATTACAAACAATCTCGTTATCATTATCTACGGTTTTTTTTTTGGTCTATTTGTAAATACTTTTTGCTAATTTCATTCAAAATTCGAGGCCACGGTTCTTGAAATCATAATGCCGGTTTTAAATCAAAAACAATGTTAATTCGTTACTAAGTCAAACATTTAATCTAGAGCGAAGGTAGATGAAAATCGTCGCATCGGGTCGTTGACCTCCCGAATCAACTCTGATTTGTTCATCGATCTATTGCAACAGAATATTTACAGTAAACTTGTTATTTGAGGAGTTAGATTAACGGACATACGACGTTTTGCTTCTGTTATCAAGACTTTCGGCTTTTGAGTTCTCGTGTTTGTTGTATCATTATTGCTTTGCAGTTAAATGCGATAATAGTGTTTAAATTAAGATCATATAAACTTCTATAATTTATTTATTCCTAATTCTAAGCTCAAAGATTTTGTATACCTGATTTAAAAATAGTTTTTAATCATTATATGGCTTATTTATAATTTCTTCAGTAGAGGCTTTGGAATGTACCGCACTGACTGATTTCGGAATATCGAAAGTAAATATGATTTGTATTTCAATTATAATCTTTATTTTCATCAGATAAAGTTGAATTTCTTTTAAATCTATTTAACTAAGTATACAATTTCTTCGATTTTGGCGAGTCATTTTACTGGTGGTAGGACCTCTTGTGAGTCCGCACGGGTAGGTACCACCACCCCGCCTATTTCTGCCGTGAAGCAGTAATGCGTTTCGGTTTGAAGGGCGGGGCAGCCGTTGTAACTATAATTGAGACCTTAGAACTTATATCTCAAGATGGGTGGCGCATTTACGTTGTAGATGTCTATGGGCTCCAGTAACTACTTAACACCAGGTGGACTGTGAGCTCGTCCACTAATCTAAGCATTAAAAAAAAAAAAAAGTCAAAGACCTAATTAAAACTGCTCTTACGGTCTTAATATCCAAACTGTAAAGTATAAAAAATATATCGTAAAAATAGTTTTAATTCTGTCTATTAATATATTTTTCTTTTCATGTTCAACTTATAAATGAGTGGCAATAGAATATAAAGGCTATGGCTGGCTATGGGGCAGATTGAAACAAACAAAAATAATTGGTACTTTAATGAAAAATGATTTTGAACCTAATATTTACTTACAAAAAAGGTCATATTTAAATATGGAGACTGACCGATTGCTACATTGTGTTACGCCCCGTACAGCAGCGCAGAAGATAACCAGACAAAGGTATTTCGAAAGTAGTCTTTATTCCATTGCAGCAAGGTATATATTTATATTATGTAATAATTCCACACGAAATCATGTGATAAAATGTTTTTCATATATTTATTAATATATAGAGGATATATTTTTATAAGCGCGCTTTATAATTCGTGACTAACATAGATGTTGTAATTTAAATAAAATTATGATTGTTGATTTAGTGCGTTTTATTGTGTATTGTTTTCCCAGAAACTCAGGACTTTTTCTAAGATATTTATCATTTAGCTACCTACCACTTAAGACTGCGAATTCTAGAAATATGTAACTTTAAAACGACTAGTCCTTGTTCCTAATAAATTAGTACCGTTTTTATTTAATGATTTAAAAGGCGGAAAAAATTTTGAAATGCCAAAACTTCAGAGACGAAAAAAAGTAAAGACGGTCAGTCTCCTTTGAAAATGAGATCAAATTAATTTTTATAAAAAAATATATAAAGATATGTAAATCGAAAAAGATTGGATCAAAGTTAATAAAATATTAGGTGTGATGAACAGGGTTTAGGGCGGCATCAAGCCTAAATCCATCACTGGATTCAACCTGAGAGAGCTTGCAGGCAATAAATAGCCCTAGCAAGAACAGTGCTTCGTAAAATCTACCACCGGATCGAAATCGCAAGCCACTGAGAAGATCCGTCGAGAAACTCAGTGGGCTGTGTCTGTGAGTTAGTTTGCTCGTTGAACTCGAAGAGGGCGGTAGGTAGGTTATTTACTATTTATGCTTTAGACCACGAGCTCGCCCTTATTCATATTTCTGACATATAAAGTAGTTCAAATAATAGGTAAGGGTTTTTTTCGTCTTATTTCTAGTTCCATTGCAAAAAAAAGAACCGCCTTCACGAAAGAGATTTTAAGCGTCGTTATTTCCGACTGTCACTCACTGCAAGATCAACATGACAGCGTAATTCGCACGGACACCAAAAATAAAAATGGACAACTTCTAAATTCACAGTTGACGAAACCATATCCCTTATCAATAAAATGTAAAGTTGAAATACAAACAAAAAAACAAAAGGAAGCCAAAATGGAAAAACATGATAAAAAAATACATGGATTCGAAGACATCCCTCTAAGCACCAGAGTCGCCTTGGGTACAGTTGCAGGGTAATTGGTTCTTCTTCTATATCATCATCATCATCATTCTTCTTCTATATATCTAAGAGTTTAAGTCGTCGTGGCCTAAAGGATGACGTCCGGTGCATTCGTATGTAGCGATGCACCGATGTTCGAATCCCGCAGGCGGGTACCAATTTTTCTAATGAAATACGTACTTAACAAATGTTTACGATTGACTTCCACGGTGAAGGAATAAGATCGTGTAATAAAAATCCAACCCGCAAAATTATAATTTGCGTAATCACCGGTGGTATGACCTCTTGTGAGTCCGCACGGGTAGGTACCACCGCCCCGTCTATTTCTGCCGTGAAGCAGTAATGCGTTTCGGTTTGAAGGGTGGGGCGGCCGTTGTAACTATACTGAGACCTTACAACTTATATCTCAAGGTGGGTGGCGCATTTAAGTTGTAAATGTCTATGGGCTCCAGTAACCAATTAGCACTAGGTGCTGTGAGCTCGTCCACCCATTTAAGCAATAAAAAAAGAGCATTAGAGAAACTTTTATAAGGTTTCCTTTAACAAACATCTTCCGTCAAACATCCTGTCTTCATTAGAAGAATTTGATGTGGTGATATCAAAATTTAAGCACGTACAGGGTGTCCTCAATCTCAAATCAAATGTAGAGTATAGCTTTTTCTTTTCTTCCGTGGTTGGGTAAACGAGCTAACTTAAGTGACCACCGGAACACATACAAATCACATATAAACCTGGATACGGTAACCAGCCTCCAAACATGTTTCTGGCTCGCTGCAGAAATAGGCAGGACGGTAGTACCTACCCGCGCGGACTTACAAGTCGGTCTTACTGTTTCTCTGCCTTATGATGTAGGGCCTGTTTAGATGATGATTGCACAGAAACAATCAGTATGTTAAATACGCGTAGGGACTCGAACTATACAATAGGGGTATCGAAGCTGTCAAAGACGATTTCTTGAAACGGATAGTCTATTATTCTTTTTTGCTTTTGCTTAGATGGGTGGACGAACTCACAGCCCACCTGGTGTTAAGTGGTTACCGGAGCCCATAGACATCTACAACGTAAACGCGCCACCCACCCTGAGATATAAGTTCTAAGGTCTCAAGTACAGTGACAACGGTTGCCCCACCCCTCAACTCGAAACGCATCACTGCTTCACGGCAGAAATGGGCGTGGTGGTGGTACCTACCCGCGCGGACTCACAAGTGGTCCCACCACCGGTATCCGTCTCTTATATATCTCCACTCTCTAATACCTCGTTTAAAGAAGCATACTTATATTATCTGGTAAAATCAACAAGACGCACAAAATCAGCATCGTTTTAATCCACAATATTGCAGGATTTTTTTAAGAATTGTAATGGGAATTACTCACGAAATCAATTACAATTTCATTTAAATCAACTCGGATTTAACTGAGATGATCATTTTAATTCGTCTTCTTAAAAAGCAGTTTGTCAATGACTTCGCGTAGGAAGTCGTCAATAGACGCTTATTTTTTGAAGTTATACTTCTTTAGGCGCGTTATGAAAAATTGATGAGTGAAATTTTACGATTCGCGTGACACAAAATTAACAGAAATGAACTTACCCACTAAATCGCTCATTACAATACGACCGACGTAGCTTGGTGAGTCTGAATTTAGCTACAGGTGAACTTTCGCGCATGTACACTCGTAAAAAAAGTGTTATTAGCATTCATTTTTTAGTAATATAAATGACAAAATTATTATTTAATATAATTCATACTAAATATTATTAAATTATTAACGTTAAATATTCATTATTAATTATTTAATATTAAAAAAAAGAAATAAATTTAATAAAAATAAAGTATAACTTCTTACGCGCGTACATAAGTACACGCACCCTTTTCTCTTTTTTGTGTGGTAACGAAAACGTGTACATTTCTTTTTTTAGTATGACGGCCACAACGATACTCCATCCTTTGGACCTCGCTAAAGTCCGAATGCAGGTTTGCGACCACCCTGGTTCGACTCTGAACGTAATCCGACACGTGGGGAGATGCGAAGGCTACGGCTCATTATACACTGGACTCTCCGCGGCTCTTCTGAGGCAGGCTACTTATACTAGTACCAGATTGGCCGTGTTCTATTTTCTCTACGACGAATACAGAAGGTTTGTATTTTCCTTACAAATATTCGATTAAACGCGCTGCGTTCTATATTTGAAACAATGTCAAGCGAAACGTCAAGAGAGTTTGAGCGCGAAAAATTAAAATTATGTAACACACACACAGACATATTTAAAAGTGATAAAAGTATCCAAAACATTTATTACGAAAAGACAGAACAGTCGTGAAAAATACTTTGTTTCAAACAATTTCGGTGATTAATAAAAAATGGCGGCATTTTATTTTTATTTAATGACACATACCTAATTATGTTTTCTTGACGGTATTGATTAACGGTATTGATTTCTTTATTATATTTTTTTTATTGCTAGATGGTTGGACGAGCTCACAGCCAACCTGGTGTTAAGTGGTTACTGGAGCCCATAGACATTTACGACGTAAATGCGCCACCCACCTTGACATATAAGTTCTAAGGTCTCAAGTATAGTTACAACGGCTGCCCCACCCTTCAAACCGAAACGCATTACTGCTTCACGGCAGAAATAGGCAGGGTGGTGGTAACCCACCCCCTGTCCTACCACTAGTAAATTCGTTAATTGAAGTAAATATTTCATTTGGAAAAACTTCGGCCAACGCTTTAAGCGCTATCCAGCATAGCATCCACAGCGCGTATTGTAATTAATTAAAAAAATATTACCATTAATATAGGTTTATTTCCTACTAGCTTTTACTTTGGCATAACGCTAAATTTTACCCCCCACTTCATTTACATAGAAAGTGAATCGGTGCTCCACTTGTATTGGTCTTACAGTGATGTTATATAGCCTATAGCATTCCTCAATAAAGGGGCTATCTAACACTGAAAGAGTTTTTCAAATCGGACCAGTAGTTCCTGAGATTAGCGCGTTGAAACAAACAGACTCTTCAGCATTATAATATTAGTATAGATTATTTATCGCGCAACATATCAAGGAAAAGTCGACGCAGAGTTTTTGAGGCCTAAAGAGGCAAAATTGTCCGTGATCCATTTTACTAACGATCCCAAAGTTATCAAACAGTTTTGTCTTTAATTAACTAGAAAATACTGCAAGGCGCCGTGTCTGAACGAGAAGATTATAATGGGCATGTACGCGGGGCTGGCGGGAGCGTTTATCGGGAATCCCTCGGAGGTGGCACTCGTCCGACTAATGGCCGACGGACCACGATACTGCTGCTATTATTACTGTCGACCTTACACGGGAACTTTCGACGCCATTTGCAAGTGCGTGTTCATTTTTTTAATTATTAAAACTTTAGTTTTCGTTGTTCGGTTAGCTACGTGACCGCTCGAATACCTGTAGTGGGTTTTGGTCTTTAAATAAACAGGCAAAGAAAACAAAAGAGTAAAGCCATTTTTTCTTCTGTGGTTAGCGTGAGTTTTTTAATTTTCGCCCAAAAAAAAAGAACAGCGGAAACTGTACCGGAAAACGTAGGCCAACGTTGGAACTCCATACAAATTTAAGTGTACTTTTACGCTATCGAAAACGTTAAAAAACTCACACTAAGCACACTGGTTTTCAATCGAGTTCCTTCTTCTCTTAAGTTGCTATTGTCGAATTTGAATGTTACGAAACTTAAGTATACAATTTAAATTTATTAACATGACAAGAGCAGAATTTTTTTTTAAATTTTAAATATCTAAGTCTATTGAGACGTCGTCAGTGCTTAAGATCGAATTTCAATCATAGGGCGAACATATAGTTAACGTAAAAAATAAACAATGTTTTTGAATAAACAGGATAATTCGCTATGAAAGTATCAGCGGCTTGTGGCGCGGCGGTGTCTTGACTTCGGGTCGATCTCTGATCGTGACAGCAGCTCAGATAGGAAGCTATGCAAAGGTTTACCATGTTTCTATTATATTAGAGCGATTTGGTGCAATCGAGTATAATCATCAGTCATCGAATATCAGTGACATTATTTGGACACGTACCTATCACGAAGTAGGAATCTTTACTGGAGTTACAGTTCGGAGTAGTATAAGGGCGGGTATAAGACCACGTGATAGGTACACTGTATTGTATTCAGCAAACGTTATACTCCAACATTATAACTAAATAGATAACTGGGAACAAATCACGCACGGTCATCCGGTCCCAATTTAGGATTCTCTGTTTTATGGGTGAGAGAGAGGTGGTGGGAGACACTGTTAAACATAGTTATATATGTTCAAATATACACATATATAGCAAACATGCTGTTATGCGCTGGGGTTCGGGATAAATAAATATTCCACCAAAGTACAGCTTAAAACTGTATTAATAACACTTAGAACACTCAAAACACTTCACAAACACTTTAAAATTCTCAATTCACTGCATCCGCTTCGCTTCAGGTGATCCGATCGCTGTTTCGCTTCGATTAGTTCCGATTACTAACTGCCTGCATGCCATCTCTGTAACGCTTTTATAGTCGATACGACATCCCTAGAATCGTCGAGAACATTCCTCACAAGTTGAGTACCTTCGATGTGTTTCCGCTATCTGACCATAGATGGCGTTGTACTTCTCGAGAGTTCTAGATGTTACTAGATGCTTCGATTTTCGTTCGGCTATTCGGCGATAGATGGCGTTACTCTTATCGGCGTAATAATACTTCCTTTTCATCAATCAAACAATGTTTGCTCGGTAGGCACATCTATAGGTGTCGAACCCACTACCCTTAGCGCAACAGTCAGGGCCGCTAGCCACTGCACTACTGAGTCAGTTATTGGTTAAAATAAGTAGACATTAGCGGCATTTTCCAATTGGATACCGCTTTATGCCAAGTGAGAAGCGAGTCCATCAGACTAGTCTGATATGAAGCCAAAAATATAGGGCATTAATAAAAAAGCCCATAATGCATCCCTGCCAATTGATATCCTCTAATTTACATTATAATGATTGCTTTTCTTCAATAATTCCACGTCGTTTTCACGCAGACTCGCAGGGCGTTACAAGAAAACAAAGTGGCTAAAGGTTTGGAGTTGCATTTCTACACGTCGATGATATCAAGCTTCATCGCAGCCGTCATCTCGTTGCCGATAGATCACATTAAAACTAGGTTAGATGTTCTCGTGAACGCATCGAGTACAGTCGTGATGAGGGTCGGGCGTGTGACTTCCTATCCGCAGCACTAAACATAGATTAATTCGCAAAGCAGCTGCCCTTGAGTTGTTGGGTCTCCTTTGGAGGCGCTCGGGTAGCTGTTAGCAAATCCCACCCCTAGTAGCTGAGGCCGTGCTCGTCCACGTTCTGGTGAAACTAGAAAGGTCTCCGGGCTACTAGTAATCCTTCAATCATAAAAAAATGAAGAAAAAAAGCATTAAACAGGGTGATAAAATGGCCAAGCTCCATGTGCTCTCCACTAATGTTTCTTTTTAAATATAAAATGCAATTATTGTTACGAATTAACATTTTCAAAAACATCAAACGGCCATTTTTACTTCAACTTTTAGCTTTGGTTATTACCTTCTAAGATAAACGATCATATAGACACCATCTGGTGATAAATGGTCACTACTTAAGGTCCTACCACCAGTAAGTAATAATTAATCCAGATGCTCCGAGACCTCTTCCTATACAGTCGTCCCGGAGAGTTCAGTAAAATTTTAGCAATAAATGCATTTACATAACAATTAACCTACATTATTTTCTCAAACAGATACCAAGTTAGAAGTGATTGTGTAACACAGAAGGAAATTTTGGCGGACACAAGGAGGAATAGGGGCATATTTGGTTTGTGGAGAGGATTCACACCGTACTATTTAAGGATGGCTTTTCACACCTTCATCACTTTCTATCTGTTGGAGCAGTTTTTCGAGATGTACCAGAAATGGGAAGAGCACGAGAGAAAACTTAGATGAGGCTTGTTTAGATGCCGAAGAGAATGGACTCCGTGCTGGAATGTTTTATTCGAATTGCTAGTTTTTGCATTGGCTCAAAGGAATTAGCCTTTTCATAATCTGTCTCTTGAAGTTCTAGTATTTGTCGTGTTGATTCGACCTAAAAAAATTTAAGTTGAAGTTTAAATCAATTGTTGACGAGTTCAAATGAAGTCCCCAAAATATTTAGATCTAAAACGTGCAAGTTCATAGTTACTTTGGTTTGTTTGCAAATTTTACTCTTTAGATTTATTGGCAATAGTTTATGTGAAAAAAACCTAAAAAGACAAACCTAAGCTCCTTTATACAATACAAATACTTTATAAAATACACTTTTGTTTTCTTAAATGTCACAGGCGAAGAACACTGTGATCGTCTAATGTAAGAAAGTATTCATTAGCAGCAGTAAAGTCATGCTGCCTTCTTGCTGTTTACCCAAAATAACTCTAAGGAAGTACTGTAGAGTTCATTCTAGAATTATAATACAAGTGGCAGAAAAGACCTTTCAGATACGAGAAGCCGGCATGTGGTGGTCGCATTAATCTTTGTGTTCTCTAGAATGTGGATAATTCCCCTTTTTTTCCGATAAAACATTACCTTGTCACGTAATTGTATTGGATTAAATATATAAAGTCATACATAAAGACCGACATCGGAATATCGTACGCATAGATGTGCTCGCGGATAATGCGGCACTACAGGGGCTTCCATTAGTTCCTTTTGACATACTTTTGTATGAGTTAGGAGCGAATTGCGGTCTGCGATGCACACGTCTTTCGATTCTCGTCCTTAATTCAATCGTATCTGGATTAAAGCGAAATTCGTGACGTAGCATTTAGCGTTTCATCTATTTGAACTAAGATGGTGTGTTGATATTGGAATTAAGTGGCATTTCCAAAAAAATAATTTACCGAAATTGATGAGAAGCAAATTTGGGAGTTTGAAAGCGTTCTTACGAAAGAAGTCTAACAAAATGTTCAATCTATACCAACACATGAAGTCCAACAATGAAGACAAGGAGCAAAAGGAGCCAGAGACCACTGGGCACGACAGGTTCTATCAAGAACGTCCGAGGACCAGCTATAGGAAGAAGAAACGCCGCGGCGCCTGTAGACGGGCCCAATCTGCAGCCGAACTCAACCCTGAATCCATTGCGGCTGCTAATAAAAGGAATGCGTTTCGTATACGCTCCGTGTCCACAGATAGAGAAGAAAGTGAAGGTAATTAAACCTTTTTAAATCATGTATTTCCAATTAAGCAACATTAAAAAATAACTATTATTATACAATCACTAAAATATTTAATTATAAAAACAAAAAAAACTGACGAAGCGTGTTGCGCATAATAACATGTACTTTTAGGTTAGGAATATTATGTTCTTTTTTTTTATAATAAATTTAATATAAAAAAATCATTAAAATGTGTGTGACTGAAAGTAATTAAAACATTGTTGCAGTGAAATTTACAATTTACAATCTGATTTCAGAAGTATTAGGTTTGCAAATGCAAATCTTTTTCTATAGTAGGCAAATAACTTCTACATAGATGTTTCAAATTGAAATTGAATGCTAATATTCATTCATTGAGAGTCCAAAACGCTTTACCCCTGTTGCGTCAGCTGTTTTTTGCAAATTAACCCCCACAAACGAATACTTTTATAAGCTATTTTCTATAACTGCCACATAAAATGAGTTTCGAAACTTTTATAACTTTGCAATATCTACATGTCATTTGAGTGAACTGTCTACTTAGTGTGAGTTTTTTAAGTTACTCGATAGTGTAAAAGTAACTCAAATTGGTATGCAGTTGAAACAGCGCTCCTAGCGGCAAACGTAGGCAAACGTTCCAAATCCATACAAATTTGATTTAACTTTCACGGTGTCGAGAACGTTAAAAAACTCGCACTAAGCGCACTGAACATTTCAATGTGCATGCGTAATGGCCGGCGTATATTGGTAATTGCATTAGGTGTTGTAGACTAGAGATAAGTAGCAGTAGTAATTTTGCACATGTACAAAATTATCTCTTTCTCATCATTTATTAAAACGAAATCAGTTTCAAAGGTTCAAACCTGATTTTTCTCAACTATTTATAAATTGTTGGTGCGTATGAAATATTCAGAAGTTTAATTAGAACAGTGTTTGGTAAACTTCTGTTTGATTTTCCTGTATTTTTTTTTGTTTCGCTCACGGAAGAAGGCCGAACGCAAGAAGGAGAGGCATCCTCGTGCGCTTGTAGTTCAAGTACCTATCTACGTAATTTATTTTGATAATGAACTTCAGACTTACACACCTCTGCTGACTGTTTTTTTCCCTAACTGTTCTAGTAACCTCGAGGGGTTATTCTAGATTGGCCGAGCTAGTAGGTGAGCTCACGGGGCTCAAACCTGATGACGTTGCTAACACAAACCCTACCAAGAGCCGTGCTTCGCAGAATATACCACCGAATCGGAAACGCGACCCACTGAGAAGATCCGGCGAGAAATTCGGTGGGCTGTGTCTGTGGGTTAATTTACTCGTCGAACCCTTCGACGTAAGCGACGGGTTCGACGAGAATGATGACCGGTGCTTTAGGTACCTAAAAGCAACGTTAGTGGATCGGGAGGATCCGCAATGGCGTGTTTTGGGCAACGTGCACTATTCGATTTCAAAATCATATATTTCAATAGGTACAATTTTTTCCATGGCTATGGAACGTAATGTTAAAATAATTTCTACGACCGTTTCACAGAAGAGTCACACTCCCCTGGAAAAATTTACGATAATGTGATCTTAAATTTAATTTTTTACGATACGATGTTACTTATTTTCTAATTTTATGCCTGGCTTTTTATTATTAACAATATGCGAATAATAAATAGTACAACATATGTATAGACAATGTACCGCAGAAAATCCCAAAAAGTAAGGAAAACTTATAAAATTTTAGGGAAATTTTCGAAATTTTACTTGAGAACTAAATACAAGAATTAAGATTTCTTCAAACCTTAAGACGTTGATTAAGGGACTTAGATAAGTAAATCTAAGTGGAGTGTAAAGTCTGTTTTATTGCTGTTGTCCATTTACAACTGTAACTATTTAGATCGGATGCGCTAAGTTTCGTTTGTCTCTGTTTAAATAGTTATCATTATCACGCCACAGGAATAATTATAAAAACTTAAATATATTATAAATATATAGTTGCCTAAAATAATAATAAAAAAATTGAAGTGTCTATTTTATTGTACTTTTAGAAGAGAATTCTGAGCGTGCACCACTCGTGGCGCAGAAGATAGACTCCCTGGCGAAATTGCTGTTCAACAAATCCCTTATTGGCACGGGCTCTGGTAAATCATCTCCATCAGAACCGACAGCTTCGCCAAGGTAATATAGAATTTATAATAGGTGAATAAACTTTCCCAAAAAAAATACTTAAACTAATAAGTGAAATAATAAGTATAGAATATATAATAAGTGGAATATAAATAGAAATGAAGAGAATATAATTGCAAATTTAGTTAAACCCTATCTCCCTTCATTTCCGAATTAGTGGCGAGCCGTAATCGAAGAGGAGAACCAAGAGACCATGAAAAATGATTCTGTCGATCAGTTTCACTTTACATATAGGTACATTGCGACTTAATTTCAACCGTCTTAATTATAAGAAATGTCTTTGAGTTTTAAAGTTCTAAAATAAGTTCATAAAATGATAATCGGAAAAACCTCGTCCCATTTGCTAAATTCGCAGTGTTATCCGCGCCATGCGCAGTGATTTTAATGATTTGACAGCTGTCAAAAGAGAGAGCTGTCGGGTTAAGGGGCAATGGTATCCAACCTATTTACTATATAAATCAGAACCAGTGACCTAATACTAAAATGGTGATTCTCAATTTCACAGAGCTGGCGATCGTTCTATGGAAAATTCGGCTGCTCTAGCAATATGTACAGAATATTTGTCACAATCTTCAAGGTAAGTTGTTGAACAATCTTTAACTTATAACAGTATTGCATTATTTGTTTTATTAATAATCATTCACCACTTGCAAATTATTTGCCTTTCAACATTTTTGAATGTCCTACATAGATAGAGGTACATCAAGTTTTATGATTTTATTAAAACAGTAGCGATCTGATTTTCAGATATGCTTTAATTTCTCAGCTCGGAGCGATTGGGTCACGACCGAATAAACATTGGTTTGCTATCCACGACAATTCCATTAAAACTGACAGACTGCTAACCCTGGTGAGTTCTTTAAAGCCAAACTAGCAAAGGAGTCATTTGTTCCATCCTTAAGTTTCCATTAAATAATACATAGTGTAGCGGCAATCTGATTTTCCGCACTTGATATTGTTATCAATATTTCTGGACTTGAAATTTCAGTGAAATTAAATATGTGTATTTTTGTAAAAATCAATATTGGTTCGTTTGCGTCAAAAAACTTGATAAGTGAGTGACGCACAAACTGAATGATTGTCAGCGCGACGAACGCGTTAAGGCACATTCAGAAATCATGGGATTTTGAACCGCATTGTCACTTTCGATCAAAAATGGATTCTTTTGGATAATCGTAGGCGATTATCATGTTGCTTAGATCCTGGTTCGGCACTTAGACAATGTCTCAAACGAAAACTTACTTCTAAAAAACTCATGGTCAGTGATTGATGGTCTAGTGCCGGTATAATTCATCACCACTTTTTACCAAATGACACCGGTATTACTGCGAACGTGCATTGTGAGAAACTGGACCTAATGATGGAGACGGAGATGGAGATGGAGATGCGAATCTCCGGTCAGTTATGGTTAATGGCTCGTCCCCGCTGTTCCTACATAACAACGATCGACCTCATACCGCACAACAAAGCTTGTAAACTACAAGAGCTAGAGTTGGAAGTTTTGCGTCATCCACCGTACAGTTACACGCTGGGGTTCGGGATAAATAAAAACTCTACTGAAGTACAAATTAAAAACTGTATTAGCACTTAAAACACTTCACAAACACTTTAAAATTCTCAATTCACTTCTTTCACTTCGCTTCATCCGTTCGCTGTTTCGCTAGTTCCGATTACTAATTGACTGCGATGCGATCTCTGCAACGCTTTTATAGTCGAGACGAAGTCCCTACAATTATCGAGAATATTCCACACAAGTCGAACATTGTGTGTTTCCGCTATCTGACAATAGATGGCGTTGTACTTTTCGAGCGTTCTAGACGCTACTAGATTCTTCGATATTCGTTCGGCTATTCAGCGATAGATGGCGTTACTCTTACCTGTGTAACAGTACTTACCATACTTTTCGTCGACTTCTTCTACTTTTTTAACAGTTAGGACAACTTCTCGACAGGGTAAAAATTTAATACTTGAGAAGTAATACAGAATACTTTTGAAAAGTTTATTGGCTCCTGTACATCTGAACAGGGCATTGAAAAATTACTACTGCACTGATAGAGAAGCTCAGTTACTAGGGATTCCGCTAGGGTTGCCGGTATATACTTATTTTGAAACATTTTTTTCAGATGCCTCTAACAAATAAATGCCCGATAGAACAGGGCGACCGTTCTAAAGGCCTGATAATGGAATTATTTCGGGCCCTCCACCATCCATATATATATCCAGTACTTGACCTGGAGATGTGCAATGGACACGCTCTGACCGTCTTACCATTTAATGCCAGAGGGAGTCTGAAAGATCTTATTTATAAGGTAGGAGAAAATATTAAAATTGAATACAGTAGCATTTACTTTGTTTCCGTTATAGCAAGTATTTTGATATACTTATTATTATTTTGAACACTAACTATTTTCGATTCACGTGTAGCAATACAAGTACTAATATAGCAATACAAGCATCTAAGCAATAAAAAAAAAAAGTTTTCAGTCAAAAATCGCTCAACGTTTGACAGGTGTCAAAAATGATGTGTGTCATAGTTCACCTACTGTTACTAGTTTACTGGTGGTAGGACCTCTTGTGAGTCCGCGCGGGTAGGTACCACCACCCTGCCTATTTCTGCCGTGAAGCAGTAATGCGTTTCGGTTTGAAGGGTGGGGCAGCCGTTGTAACTATACTTGAGACCTTAGAACTTATATCTCAAGCTGGGTGGCGCATTTACGTTGTAGATGTCTATGGGCTCCAGTAACCACTTAGAACCAGGGGGGCTGTGAGCTCATCTAACCACATCAAAAATAAAAAAATAATAAAAAAAACCTCGTCTTCGAATAGGTTTACTGGTAGGGTACTAGATAAAATTGTTTTGTGTCAAAATTGTCCATTCATATTAGTTGGCCTGTATAAATTTTAAACTGTTTGCATCAGAGTACTTGGAATGACGAGTACGCCCGCAAGTGCGGCTCGGTGGGCACGGGGCTCCCGGCGTGGCAGGTGGCGAGGTTTGGGCGACAGATGCTGGAAGGCCTCCTCTTTCTAAAGGAGAAGGGTTTTCCGCCCTTCCGACATCTACACTCGGGCAACGTTGTCGTGCAGAACGGGGTTGCGCGGTACGTACTCAATATTTTCAACAAATAATATTAGATTATTATTATATACAAAATGGTGTTAATGTCCGAATGTCGTCTTTGATTGTTCAACCAGTATATGTGGATTGGAGAACACGTTGATCGGAGCCCTCCCGCGGTGTCCCATAGCGTTGGCCGCCCAGCTGGAGGTCGTAGAGGCTCTGTCCCTCGGACACGTGCTGTTTGAGATGTGTGCCGGCACTGAGATCGACCTCGCTCTATTGCCCGATCTCACGCCGACGTATCCGAATGTAATCAACCTCTGTATTTGGTTATGTAGTTTATTAGCAAGCTAGCATATAACAATCGCTCTCATGCACTTCCTGGTAACAGCTGCTGCCAATGTTGGTCAAGGTTGGTACATGAAAATCGCTCGGATGCAGTTACTGGTAACATCCGCCTCTAATGTTGGCCAAGGTTAATACATGAAAATCGCTCGCATGCGCTTCCTGATAACAGCCGCCGCCAATGTTGGCCAAGGCTAATAGAAGAAAATCGCTCTCATGCGCTTTCTGAACAGCAGCCGCCAATGTTGGCCAAGACTAGTAGATGAAAATCGCTCGCATGCACTTTTTTTTAACAGCCGCCGCCAATATTGGCCAAGGCTATCTTGCGAAAGATCGCAGCTTTGAGCAACAAAACGATCCAGCTTTGACAATTTTTAGCGTAACAAACCACCATCATTCTCCTGCCCTTCTCCCAGTCACCTGGGGTCGGCGCAATATGTTTTGTCCTTAGATACTCCTCTATCATATACTATTTTATTGCTCACTCCCCTCTTCGCAATCTATCCATTTCTTCTTAGGACTACCTCTTCCTCTAACACACCAAAAAAGAACATGAAGTTAAAGAAAAAAATGTCGATTGACAAAAACAAGAGACAATAACACTGAATATTATTCTTCTTACCCTTATTCTTCTATAGATGAGCTGGCTATTCATTTGGTAAATGGGCCACGGAGTACGTGAAAGAATGACAACTAGTCTCTAGAAAAATCGAGTTTGAGCTTAGTAGATATCATTAGATTAGTTAATATAATAAGTATAGATATAGATAGAAGTATAGTTTAAATAAATAGTAACTATAGTAATTAGATACGCTTCACATAATCAGCATATCATAGCACGAGCGTTTTTCAGTGTGCGAGTTTTTTTAAAGTTCTCGATCGCGTAAAAGTTAACTCACATTTGTATGGAGTTGGAACGTTTGCCTACGTTTGCCGCTAGGGGCGCTGTGCCGACTCCATACAAATTGTACGGTAATGTACACACGCTGTAATGTTCTAATGAATTGTCCAGGTCGTCGAGATCATCGAACAGATTTTCGGTCCGCGGACCCCGACGCTGCACGAGCTGCTCCTCTGCGAGCTGTTCCGGAAGATCGACCTTCGCGAGATGAAGGGATCGTGCTTACCGGTAACGTCATCAACAAAAAACTTTATGTAACATTGTACTGCATTAACATATGTGCGAAGCAGGATGAAGATTTTGTGATTTGATGTTAATTAGCCAGTAATATAATTACATACACGTTGACAAGAAAACGGGATTGAAAATTTAGATTTTACTTGAATGTTTTTTTTTGGGTTCTATCAGTGTACTTAGAGCGAGTTTTTAACAGCGCCCCTAGCGGCAAACGTAAGCAAACGTTCTAACTCCATACAAATTTGAGTTAACTTTTACGCTATCGACAAACGTTAAGAAACTCGCATGCATAAGTGAGCGTCAGCACTACCAGAGCGTATAGACAACACACGCGAATGTCGCCACTCACCTTCATATTACACCGAAGTGTCAATTATATGGTAACTGTCCCTTCAGACCGGAATGCATAACTGCTTCGCGACAGAAATAGGCAGAATGGTAGCCACCGCCACCAGTGGAGCGTCCGCCATACTTTGCCAAAAGGATAAGAAAGAGAGTCTTCGACTAATTGTTTTTTTTTGTGTTTTTATTGTGATGTATCAGAAGGACAGTGTTCGTCAGTATAGTTTCAAAACATACATTTTTACTGGTGGTAGGACCTCTTGTAAGTTTGCATGGGTAGCTACCATAACCCTGGCTATTTCTGCCGTGAAGCAGTAATACGTTTCGGTTTGAAGGGTGGGGCAGCCGTTGTAACTATACTTGAGACCTTAGAACTTATATCTCAAGGTGGGTGGCGCATTTACGTTGTAGATATCTATGAGGCTCCAGTAGCCACTTCACACCAGGTTGGCTGTGAGCTCGTCCACCCATCTAAGCAATAAATAAAAAAAGAGTGAATAGCCCAGGGTTTAAGTGTTTACTATTACCACATTCCCCCGGTAGAACTTCAGCCAGCGTTTGTCCCGGTCGTGCCTCTCGCTGCTGGGCGAGGTGGCGCGGCGACAGCCCGGGGCCGCGCGCCGCTCCCGCCCCGCCTCCCCCGCCTCACCCGCCACCCCCGCCACCCCGCCGGCCAGACGGTAATGTCTCCGTATACTATAATTTTAAAGATATTTTATAGTGAACGAAATAATTCCAACCGAAACCGTAGCGGCTAACTTTAATATTGCGTGAGATCGTCCATGAGTTTATTATTTTATATATTTCTAGATGGTAAGAAGAGTGCCCTACAAACTGAAGGCCCTCCTGATGTCAAATTGTTACAAGAGCTACCCACCTTGAGACATGAGGTCGATATCTCAATTGTATAACGGCAAACTAAAACATTTGACAAATTCACGTTAGAAATAGGTAAGAAGTTTTTTTCCCTATCTGGGAGACTAAGAAGCTATTGAAGCTTCACGCGGATGGGTAGGTGAGCTCACGGCTCACTTGAGCTCAACCTGACAGAATTTGCTAACACTGGCCCTGGCAAGAGCTTCGCAGAATCTACCATCAGATGGAAATCGCAATCCACTGGAAAATCCGGTGAGAAACTCAGTGGCCATGGATGGTAGTATCTTTCTCTCTCTCTCTCTGTCTCTCTCTCTCTCTCTCTCTCTCTCTCTCTCTCTATAGTACACTAAGCCTGTTTAGATATCGAATGACTAAACTCATTAGAATATTAGAAAGATTTCTTATGAATATTGTTATGAGAGGAACAATGAGTATGTTTAAGCACACGTGGGGCTCGAACTATACGAAATAAATAAATAATAGAGACGAATACTAAAAGGGAGCCTTCGACTACTCACAAATCGTTGTGATAATTTATTAATATCGCATTGACTTGCCTTTTCCAGGAGGCATTTTCCCGTTGAGCAAGACTTCGCTGAAGAGTGGCAGTGGTGATCAGAAACTTAATTGGATAATTTTGTTTTTTTTATTCTTTCATTGGAGCAATATTAAACTAGTTTTATAATAAAATTATTAATAAAAATAATTATCGGTCATGATGGTTTTTATTGTAAGTCTGCTGTTTTATCTGGTAAAAAAACCATGTGCTACGGAATACGTACTGATTGATTAATTCAATAAAATCTCTCAAAATAAATACTGACAGAACTGCTTACACCACAGTGAGTTCTCGTATGTGCATTAATTAAATTTCAATTGCATCGGTGTTTTAACTTTCAAACTAAGCACCATAGATAATAAATACACTGAATCTATACTAACTAATATATAAACCTACAGTTGTTTTTACGGACGTTCCGTTATAACTACTGGACCATGCATCCGATTGACTTGAAACTTGGTATCCATGTAAAAAATACATGTACTTAATGGATAGGCTAATATTTATATGAGTGTTGGGCTGCTTAATAATAATGACAATAAATAATAATGTTAATTTTAAATACCCAGCGAAGCGGGTGAAGTACGGCTAGTATTTTATATAAATACCTACTTACATGGTTGTTTCGCGCCAAAAAGTAACGACTTTAGTAAACAACTGTAATTCAGCTCGCAACCGATAGATTCTTACTTGAGATCAAAATTAAGGAGGCTTAGGAATTTACGACTTATTTGACACATCGTTGGATATGTGTTGGCATTATTACTATAGACTTATTATATTTGGCAGGCCGGAATCGCTTTCCTGAGCGCCATTTTAAATCAACCTTTTTCTTATTGACAACAGTCAATGCGAACTGACAATTCTCAAAATAGTAGGCATAGATTATACACTTAAAAAAATTAAAATGCGAAATGAAACAAACACATTTAAATATTAAAATTTGCAATGGGCGATCAGAATAAACCAAAACCCAAAACAATACCTAAATGGCTGAACTTTGTCATCGGAGGCACAAGTGGGTGAGTTAATTTTTTTCCCAATATGAAAAACGTAAGCTAATTATTTTTAATACATAACGTAGCCGGTTGGTTAAAATGTTAGCCACAGATACGGATGAAATATGTTTTAAAACTTTAAAAAACACGCGCTTAAATAGCTAGATAAAACTAACAATTAATTTCTGTTTTTTAACCTCTTAGCACATTGACTGCCGTGTAGGTCACCGGTGCCCTACGCGGCGCACTCAAGTAATCATATCGTATTCTACTAACTAACTACTACTACTACTAAGCGCCTGGATTGCCTAACTTTGCCTTCTTTTGTTTGTTAAAGTACGTTTTAGTCTTTTAGGTCATATAGAAATAGTTCTCGGTATCTTCGGATTCGTCTTTCCCAGAGTCTACTAAATATTCCGGCGCTTTATTAACTTTGGTCACAGTTAGCTCCAAGCACGGTCGCAGCACAACTAAATAATTGTAAACAATGCTTAGTGGAAGTCATAAATTCCAGCTATTGAGAAGTACGGCACCGTCACTTGCGTAATTACGAATCTGTAAGCTAACAAAAACGTCTCGGGTCATTTTGACCCAACCCCCATGACGCCGAGTTAAGAAGATCGAAGAGCGATATAATTACTACAGTGCGCCGCGTAGGACACCGGTGACCTACTTGGCAGTCGACGTGTTAATGGTTTGGTCAGGATATTAGAGCGAAATTATAGAATTATTGTAGTGTCGTCGGTGCTTTATGCTAGCGAAAGCTTTCAAGTTAATCGGACGTCTTGAAGTAGATGAAAATGATTATACAAAATTTCGTTACGCACAAACACAAACTAACCATGCTAATAAAAGTATGTTAAAAACGTCCCGAGCCGTACACAGCTAATGTAAATGGGTCATAAACAGAACATCCAAAAAAATTGTGCTTTTCATCAAAATATTAAAAATATTGTCTATTAGGCTATTATTTTTACCAGAAAATGTAACTAAACAAACACTTTAGTGATTTACCTTAAAATGGCTCTATTTTCGTTAATCGTTTAAAAGAAAAGATAAGAAATGCATCAGTTATGTACCCTTCCGTGGACCGTTTCCAGTTGNTCTGTTGATCTTTTCATCTTTTCGGTGGACACTTAAAAGGAAAAAATTTGACCAATTTCCTAAAAAATACGGTTTTGATCTCTGAATTTAACCATACTGTGATCTTTGTGTTATTTTTCGTAATAAATGTTGATTTTTTGTACAAAAAGCGTAATTTTTTTATTTTCAAGTTTTGAAACTCGCATTTGATTATGACCCAAATACTAATCGTGAAAAGCTTGTAAATGGTGGCTGAATGGTAGATTGTGTATATTTCTGCCGCAAAAAAGTGACTTGATGCAAGGTTGGTACGTCAGACCATCCAGAGTGTAATAACGTTGAGGCTTTGCAATCATTTCACAAAGCACTGTGGTCGGCTCCAACGGCTACCAAATTAGAGATTCGTGGGTTAATTTTCAGCAAACAAAGAGTACTCCGCAAGACATAACGTACATATCCTTTATCTTTGACTTACACAGTGAATCACAAGAAGTAACCTGCCTATTATTTCATCAGCTCCCTCGTCAGCAGTCGGCCCAATATTCACCTCTGTTGAATATATCACGCGATCCAATCCATACGAAATCTGATTATCCTATTTTGTAACTAAACTTAATTCATGAAAATATTGACGGTAAAATACCTAGACTGAAACAGTCATTCCTTTTGCTTCTAACTATTGGGTGAATTCATGTTCAAAACTACATTCGATTATCGTTCTGGTCCGAAAAGAATGATGTCGACCTGCTTCGTCCAACCGGCGGATTTGGTGAAAACACGGATGCAACTGATGGGCCCGGCGGGGAAGAAGGTATCCACGTTAGCAGTGGCCCGCGAGGTCGCTCGGAAGGAAGGGGTGCGTGGCTTCTACAGAGGGCTCACGGCCGCGCTGTTCCGACAAGCCACATACACCACGGGCAGAATGGGCTGCTTCAACTCTTTGTTGGAGTACTACAAGAGGTTCGTTTAACACTAGGGTTAATTGAATAAATATATAATATATATTACCTACTTGTGGTAGGACCTCTTATGAGTCCGCGCGGATAGGTACCACCGCCCTGCCTATTTCTGCCGTGAAGCAGTATTGCGTTTCGGTTTGAAAGGTGGGGCAGCCGTTGTAACTATACTGAGACCTTAGAACTCTTATCTCAAGGTGGTTGGCGGCATGTACGTTATAGGTGTCTATGGGTTCCGGTAACCACTTAACACCAGGTGGGCCGTGAGCTCGTCCACCCATCTAAGCAATAAAAAAAAAACAAAAAAAACGAAATTTTACCGTAACACTTTGTTTTGATGAAAAATCATACAATGTTGTCGATACATCGACACGTTGAATAATGTCGTTACAGTACCTATGGTGGAACTCCGAATTTTGCAACTAAAATCTGCTTGGGCATGGTAGCTGGTGGCGTGGGCGCGTTCGCCGGCACTCCGGCTGAAGTGGCCCTCGTACGGATGACGGCCGACGGACGTCTGCCCAAAGAACAGAGGAGGAATTATACGAACGTTTTCAATGCCCTTGGAAGGTTAAACATAACCTATATCTATATATATATAAAAATAAATTGCTGTTCGTTAGTCTCGCTAAAACTCGAGAACGGCTGGACCGATTTGGCTAATTTTGGTCTTGAATTAAGTATTTGTAGAAGTCCAGAGAAGGTTTAAAAGGTAGATAAATATCAAAATTCCTTCTCTTTGTTTTAAGTTTATTTTATACAAAAGTTTAGGTCTTTTTTTTATCGATTGAGGCACAAAGAAGTCTGCCGGGTCAGCTAGTTTAAAATAATTATCGCACAAGATGAGGTTTTAATGCTAAATAACAAGAGATTTGTTCCTTGAAACCAAAACTGCCTACTAATTGCACGGTACTGAGCCACCTTCCATAGATCTTAATTCCTCGCCGGATCTTATCAGTGGGTCGCGATTCCGATCCGGTAGTAGATTCATTCGCGAAACAGCTGCTCTTGAGTTGTTAGGTCTCCTTCGGAGGCGCTCGGGCAGCTGTTAGCAAATCCCACCCCTTCTGGCTGAGCCTTTGCTTGCCCACCTGTCCTGGTGAAACTGGAAAGGCCTCCGGACCAGGAGTAATCATTTTATCATAAAAAAAAAGATCGTTATTCCACCGAGTTTGAGGGTGTCCTGCGCTACCTTTGCCAATTCGCGGTCTCCACTCAAGAACACGTTTACCCCAAAGATTTACTCGGTTCTCTGGCTAATATGGCCAGCCCATTGCCACTTACCTACTTACACACCTAGGTAAATAAAAATGTGTGTGTATGCGTAATTTTCATTTATCAGGATCACAAGAGAAGAAGGTGTTACAGCGTTATGGCGCGGCGCTGGGGCCACTATAACCAGAGCTATGGTGGTGAATGCGGCTCAGCTCGGGACATATGCACAAGTACCCAGACTGCCTTTTATTGTGTAGCGGGTAGTTATCAAAGAATACAAGCTATTTGACAGATGCCCAAGATATGTTGTGTATAAGCCGCGCCAATAAAAAACCGAATCGAAAATGGCGTCTATGTACCTGCACTGACAGCTGGTAGAGTCAACAAATAAAAAGAAAGATAGAAAGAAAAGTTGTTTATTATAAAAAAATATAAACAAACAAATGAGAATGTACTTTACTTTACTTTATGCCCTGGCAGAAGGGGAGGTGTCTCATTTGGGATGCAACTTGCGTAGACACTTGCTGCCAGTCATCTAAGTCGCACAACTCGAAAGTGAAAACTAAAACTCTAACTCAACAACAAAGTCAAAACCGATATTTTTTTGCATGCAGTACGCGCCGTGTGCGACTAAAGACAGCAACAGTTTAGAGTGAGAGCGCATGGTCACCGCCGCCATTTTAGATTTGTTTCTTTATTGGCGCGGCTTTTATACTTTTAGTTTTGGATTACATTGGCGACTTAGTAGAATTTTTGGAACACATCTATTAATGTAGATGGATAAACGACCTCACGACCTAACAAGGTCGAGACCATAGACAACCAGTTCATAGCATGGAAGCCGTCTCCGACCTTAACTCGGAGTTTTTCATGCATTGGAACAACCTTTTCCTAGATTCCATACGAGAAGTATAAAAATTGAACTTTTTAGGCTCGAGAAGCTCTGCTTCCGTCAATGGGAGAAGGCATATTGTTACATTTCTGTGCTTCAATGATCTCCGGCCTGGTGACAAGTGCTGCTTCTTTGCCTGTTGATATCGTCAAAACAAGGCAAGTTTCTTAGGTTTTATTTTCAAATTATTCAAGAGTGGCCAAGGAATGGGCAAGGAAAAATATTTCGTCAATGATCTTTTGTGTCACATCCCTAGCCTCCAGTCTTTTATTCGATAAACATCTCGTTCTGAGTCTTAACTTGCCCGGATGTTCTTTTTCATTACGTCATACATAGTACTCACAAAGTATGCGGAACACAGTTTATACTTCCGCTTTGGAGAGCATACAAATAGAGCCTTCAGTCACGTCTATTTTGTGAAGATACCTTCGGTGGTATCCTTAGCTGACCCAACATATATTTAAGACTATTTCTAGTCTGAGGGTGTTGCCAATATTACTAATCATAAAAACCCTTTCAACGTCTTAGGAATAAGTGTATCTACAACACACGGACAGGCCCATAAATATAGAGAGATATAAGTTCTAAGGTCTCAAATGTAGTTACAACGGCTGCCCTGCCCTTCAAGCCGAAACGCATTACTGCTTCACGGCAAAAATAGACAGGGCGGTGGTACATACCCGTGTGGACTCACGAGAGGTCCTACCACCAGTAATTATACGCTAATTGTAATTTTGCGGGTTTTTATTTTTATTTTTATTACACGATGATAATTAAACAAGTGTGAATTTACCCGCAGAGTGCAGAACGCAGCTAAAGGCACAGGTCAAGTGACAGTGCTCCTGAGCATTATCAAGAACGAGGGTGTGTTCGCTTTGTGGAGAGGTTTCTTGCCGACATACGCCAAGATTGGACCACACACTGTCTTAACATTTATATTCATGGAACAACTCAACTCTTTGTATTTCAAAATGGCTTGATTTCGTTTTAATCATAGTGAGTGCAAATCGATTTTCCAGCGACCGTGATTCACTAGTGTGAGTATTTAGATGTGATTTTATAAGAATTTCCAGCTTAATATTTCCAAAGCGAACCAGTTGTGAACTGTGTACTTAACGGTAGGCAGCGGCTTGGTGCTCTGTCCCTGGAATTGCTGACGTCCATGGGCGACGGTAACCACTCACCATCAGGTGGGCCGTATGCCCGTCTGCCTACAAAGGCAATAAAAAAAAAAAAAAAAAAAAATGTACATTGACGCTGACAAAGGCGGCAAGCGCATGTCCCTCTGATGACGTAGATAAAGCTAACTTTTTATTTATTTTTTATTGCCCTTGTAGGCAGACGAGCGTACGGCCCACCTGATGGTAAGTGGTTACCGTCGCCCATGGACTTCAGCAATGCCAGGGGCGAGGCCAAGCCGCTGCTTACCGCTTAATACTCTCCACAAGCCTCGTTTGAAGAAAGACATGTCATAGCGCTCGGGAAACACCGTGGAGGGGAGCTCATTCCATAGCAGGATGGTAACCATGAAAATGTATTTGGAAAAATAGTACATGATTACAAAATAGTACATATGTGACGCGTCGTTTGTTCGCCATTCGTATTAGTTTTGTGTGTTCGTTTTGTGAAAGGTGTAGTCATATTCATCATACGTCAAACATATAGTGTCTTTAGATAAACTACAGTTAATATATTAATTACGGAAATTGTTTTTTTTTTTAAACCATAATTTATTTTTACGATAAAAAGATCGAACACGAATACTTTTGAAATGTTTTTACATTTATATTCACCAACGTGATTTATTTGATTGTTAACTTTTTTTTTTAATTTGAAAAATCAGTCCTTACTTTTGTTAACAAATGATTTCTTACGATAATATTTTGTATAAAAATAAAACTATTTTTTTTAATATTTTGTTAATATTTTATTTATAAATTATTATCTATCACACAGCCCGATAGGTGTTAATATTAAGATCCCGAATAGTTTCACAAGCCTTTAAACTAATTAAAAGTCAAACCCATTTCCCCCCTAATCTAATAAGTAGCTAGAGAAAATGTTTTCCAAATTGCTAATTAACTTTATTATGAACTAAAAGATGGTAATGTTAACATAATTTATAGTAAGTACTTTCACGTACAAAATTTTATTTTCATTGTTATAAATACCATTATTTATTTAAGACTAGCGACCCGCCCTCGCTTCGCTTCGGAAACTGTAATTTATTATTGATTTCTCCACTATTTAATGGATGTTATTATACATATAAACCATCCTCTTTAATCACTCTGTCTATTAAAAAAAACCGCGTCAAAATCCGTTGCGTAGTTTTAAAGATTTAAGCATACATAGGGATATAGGGACAGAGAAAGCGACTTTGTTCTATACTATGTAGTGATGTTCCTGCCACGATTTTTTGCTCCAATGAGAAGCCGATATTTCGGCGCTGTTGCAAGCGCCATGATCAGTTATATTGTCGGGGCGAGCCCTCGGATTTCTACGGTAATCAGAAACGGACTAGAAAGAGAGTAGACAGGTTTTCTGCTCCTAACATTCTACCCGCGCTATTGTCCAGCCGTGATAATAGGGCGCTTGTGACAACACCGAAACCTCGAGAATTTAACAATACTAAAAATCGTTTTAAAAACCGTTTAAATATAGTACCTATTTATTTAATGTACATTAATTCAACAGTTGAAAACAATTAAATTTATATTAAAGTAGCCATTGGTAAACAAATTTATATGAGAATAAAAAAATCTAAAATACCTTCATACGCACTATTCTGTGCTAAATACATAACATATATTTATCTTACTTTCCTGACCACGAAATCTGTTAGAATTGGGCAATTGGGTTAAGTCGGACTCCGGCGCCTCCAGAGAGGAAGAGGGAGACAAGGAGGGCCAAGGTCCGCCACGTCCTCCAATATCTCGCAGGAGACTATGCCTTGAAAAAGGCGCCCGAAGTCTATCGTCTAAGAAATTTCTTTCTAACACGTGTACGGGAAATGCTTTTTTTTAATGCCCTTATTAGTTTCTCTTGTACCAATGTATAATTTCAACGTAATTTTCACCAACTTTGGAAGACGTCCGATCGAAAATTTGCACGCATTTTAAGAACTGATGGCATTACAACAATCTAATACTGGACTCTGATCATCAGTATGAAAAAAAAAAACATTTTAATTGTTAGAACTAATCTCGCTCGCTATTAAAGCCCTTTTTTTAAAACTGAATTTACTTATTTCGATGATTTTAAATTATTATGCAAGCACAATTTCTATTATAGAGTAATTATAAAGAGCGTTTACCCATCTATTTATACAAAATTTTACGTCAAAATTTTTGTAAGCATCAGATGGGAATCCAGTTCTTTTTTTATTAAAGCGCTTTTTTTAAAACTGAATTTACTAATTTCAATGATCTTAAATTATTATGCAAGCACTACATATTTCTACTATTAAAGTTAAGTAAATATAAACAGCATATAAACATCTATATAAAAACAATTTTACGTATTTTTTTTTTTTGTAAACGTCAGATGGAAATCTAGCTCATCGAAAAAAACATTATTTGGCATTTTATAAGTAAGTTAATATTAATTTATTTCAAATAAACAATAATAATCGGTCATGTTGTATTACGAAAGGACGTACCTCCAATATAAAATGACCTCTTTTAAATTGTTTTATCTGCGAATTCTTTAATACTTTTTTACACTAATCTGTACAATCATTCTCAGTGAATATAAACGCGGAGGCCAACAAAGTCTACACTGTTTTAATATAAACTGACAAGATTGACACAAAATGGCCGCAACAATTTATTTATTATCTGTGACCGCCAATCAGCTCAATGGCTGTGGGCATAGATAATAAATACACTTAGATTTTAAGAGTTGCGAGTGTAGTTATTGGCCCGATTGTCACCGTTCTTATAGAACCCGTTGCTTGCGACGAAGGGTTCTGCGAGTAAACTAACACATAGACACAGCCCACTGAGTTTCTCGTCGGATCTTCTCAGTGGGTCGCGCTTCCGATCCGGTGGTAGATTCTGGGAAGCACGGCTCTTGCTAGGGTAGGTTAGCAACGTCGTCAGGTTGGAGCCCCGCGAGCTCACCTACTAGTTAAGGTTCCGCTGAAATAGCCTCTCAAGGCTATCGGCTTAGGTAGGAACTAAAAATGCAATGCTCTTGCAATGGCTAGTGTTAGCAAGTCTTTCAGGTTGAGCTCGTGAGTTCACCTACCTGTTCACGCGAAGTTGGAATAGCCCCTTAGACTACCACTGATTAAGTAGGAAGTAAAGATCACTTCGAAAAAGTTTCCCTATATACCCGGACAATTGAACTGCGGCTTTACGAAATATAAACTTGCCAAAACCCTTATTTATGCACAAGTACGATCGACGCAAATAAAGATTACTTTCTATTTACCTACGATACGTAGATTAGGAAAAATATGAGGAATCTATGGTAGTTTTCCAATGACAGCACAAGAGCGCATTATGCGGCATAATGCTCAACGTTGAATGTTCCAACTACAGCAACGCTTCGCACAATCGAGCACTCTCAAAAGTACTGCTCTCGCGTGATACTCGCAATCGATACCGACTCAGTGACAGAAAAATAACAAGTGTTTTTTCTTTAAGTTGGCATTGATCGAAATTTTGTTTATATTATCGTTAGTAATATTATTTAATGTTGAAAAAAATTGTAAGGCTTCGTTTCGTCGTAGTTTCCTAGAAATAATCAATGTTAATTAAAACTGTGCTAACTTAGCGCACTCTGCTGATGCATTTGAAAACTAATTCACGTTCCAATTAAGCTTCAGCATAATTCGGCATTGTGCGTCACTGAGTCGCATTATGCTCTGTGATTGGAAAACTACCAATCACCTCGTATAGTTGTTCCTCGCATACAAAAAAAAATACCAAATGCCCTGAGCCGAAACGTATGAAATAATAGATTATAAAAAAAAACGCCTTGAAATTTTAATCATTAAGTAGTTTCTCTTATGAGGAATATAAAACGCTAACGTATGTACCTCAAGTCGTAATCCTTCTCATTGTAGTCGTCAGATTAATTTCATCATTTATAAACAATCCAAGTAATTTCCTAAATATTCAATGCAATCCAAGATATTATTTAACGATCAGACTTTTCAATATTATTACAAAAGTTCATAGTATTCAAAAGTATTAGACGGTTTTATAAGATTCAGAAAATTGGTTAAAATTTTGTGAAGATGCTATGTAATTTTCAGCTGTAGACCATCTCTTCGACTATGGTCTCCCAGGAGTCAGTGGAGGTGACTTCCCAGGAGTCACCGTCGTCTTGGTCGTCGTCTTCCTCTTCGTAGTACGCAAGCTGAAATCAGAAGTTTTCTATGTGAATTGAGTTGTTTTTGTTTTTGTTTATACTCAGCAAAAACTCCCCATGTGCATATCTCAATATTTCAATTTACTACGCGTCAATCTTAAAAAAATCCAAGTCTCGGTTTGCATTTTATTGTAGAACAAAGTATCCTATGTGCTAAAAAAAAGGGTGCGTGTACTTATGTACGCGCGTAAGAAGTTATATTTCATTTTTTTTGTTTTTTTTAAATATTAAATAATTAATAATAAATATTTAACGTTAAAAAAAGAATGCTAATAACACTTTTTTTTACGAGTGTACATGCGCGAAAGTTCACCTGCGGCTATATTCAGACTCGCCAAGTTACGTCGGTCGTATTGTAATGAGCGATTTAGTGGGCAACTTCATTCTGTTAATTTTGTGACACGGTGCGCGCGCATCGTAAAATTTCACTCTCATCAATTTTTCATAACGCGCCTAAAGAAGTATAACTTCAAAAATATATTTTTTTTTTCAGGATATAGTTTTATTAGATTTTCCCGAAAACTACATTTATACACATAAACTGATGGCAGGACCTCTTTTGAGTCGGCACGGGTAGGTACCACCACCCTGCCTATTT